CCCCTAATTATTATTTCCTCGTGACTCATTCTCGCGTTGCTTGTTTGTTTGTCCATCAAAACAAATGGGAAATTATACAATCGATTCGATTCATATGCAGCGAGGATGATTTCAGAAGAATTATTTTCAAAGTTGGCTCAAGCGAGAAATCGGCGCGTTCGTGGAATTTGTCTTGTTTGTTTGGCTGGCGCGGCGTGCAGTTTTGCGAAAGTATTGGCGCAGGCATCGGCGAGCAAAGTAAAACGAACCAAGCCTCATAAAGATGGCGGCACAATAAAGATTACAAAGTTATTTTCTACGAGAAGGGAACAAGAGTGAGTACCGACGGCAGTCGCGCCTCCTTTATCGCGAGCCTGGAAATTCAAATAAATAAATAAACGTGCCGTGCAACCTGCAAGTGGAATAAATATATGATAAAAGGTTAAGCAAATAGTTTATTTTGTGGATTGTGTGCACACACTATCTGAAGAAGAGCGTCTCTTCGGTCGTTTCAGCTGGAGGGATTTTTTTAATGTAACGAATTGTGTATTGCGAGTATTTTTGTTCTATCTTGAATTAAAATTTATAAAAAATGGTATCATTCGAATTAAAAATAATTTATAAGGTTAATTTTAATGGAGTTAAAATAAGAAGTCACGCTTGTTGAATTTTATTTTTATCAATTATTTATAGGATTTTGAATTAATTTAGTGGCGAAATTAATTTAAATGGTGAACCACAACGTAATCAATAACTAGAATAAGATGTCTGTATTCAAAAATTATTAAAATAATGACTAGAAAATTTTGAGAAAAAAAATACAAGCATACTCTTTTATAAAAAATCAATATGTTAAATTACCATATTTTTTTGTTTCTGTAAATAATCACTTTCAAATCAAAAATTGATAACTAGGTTTTTTCCCCTCTTCAAATCAATGTACAAATTATGAAATTTAACACTTTTCTCCTTTTCTGCTTAATAATCTGTACAACTCTCATTATTTTTCTAAGAAGAATGCTTAGTTTGTTATCAGTTTTATCAAAAATGGCACAGCAGCCAGCAATTTATATATTTACAAGTGCGTTGATTGAAGAAATGAGAACACCCGATGAGAGCTGTAACCAAGTGCGTTAAACGCGCGCATACAAAATTGTACCGTCGGTGCTCATCTCTGTAACGGTTCTACTTCTTCAACAGTTACCATTATATTTCTGTGTGTGTGTTTATATTAACTTGTCTCTCTTTCTAGCTGAAAATCCCGAGAGCATACAAAAGAGACACAATTCGGTCTTCACTGTGCCGCTAACTATTACATGCGCATTATGTAAATATGCTCTCTCGAGCAGTTATTCAATTATCTAATCTCAGCGAAAGGAGACGAGCTCGATCTGTGAGAAAGAGAAAGAGCAGAGTGCACTTTTTTATTACACAGGCCGTTTTCTCTCTGCAAATTAAAGCCACAGTCATGTTCGTACGCTGCAGATTTGACAGACCTTTCTCGAATTAAACGCTCTCATTTGCATAATCAGCGTTTGCGATTGAATATTATTATAATTTATTGCATGCGCGAAAATGGTGCCCTTTCGCACAGCACCATCTAGCTCGGAGAACGCCAAGCAGAAAATAATGGAGAACAGACCGGTCGGTCGCGTGTTGTTGGATAACAAAATCAAAGTCACCCGCTCACTCTTTGACGTGAAATGGAGGCGCTCTGTTTTCACTTTTTCACACAACCTGCCCTCCCAGCACTCTTTGCGATAAACACTGCTTCAGCAAGTTCAGTCTAAATAAACCATCAAGGCTTTTTAACAGTTACGCTAACTTGTCTAGAGCTTAAAATTGGCCTCATTTAAGTATTTGCAGCGGAAATTTACCAAATCATGAATTATTATCAAATTTCAAAAGTCCAAATTTATTTGAAATAATTTACTCTTCAGAATTTCATAAAGCATAATATTTTGCTTTTCACTTGAAATAAAATTTTAATCCACATTCATTTGTTATTATTATGGAAAGTATAGGAATTGAGTGGAAACAAAATTAATGTTTCTCACACCAAGCTGAAATAATTTCCAACTTTTAATTTTTATTGATTTGAACCTCCTATGTGGACCCTATATGGCTTTAATTAGTGTATCGCGCAACCCCAACTCAATTCACACTACATTTGCTTACATAACAGGATTATTTTTACATTTTCACCCCACTTTTATAATTATCTGCATCTTTTATTGCACTTAACTTTTGAAGGCTATTTCCGATTATTTGTCCTTGCTGCTCCTTAATACCGTTTTCGAATTGAGCAACCTACGCCGACAAGATAAAACTTTAGACACGTGGATTTGCCACGGGCGAATGGGAAATTGCACATAAATCAAAATCCACGACAAGATCCGAGATAAGTGCAGTTCTATAAAAAAATGTGCATTTGAACTGGAAATGGCGAAACTGCTGGGTAGACTTTAAAACGCATTGCACGTATATAGAGAGTACTCCTGGTTCCGCATTATCTTATCGGCAGGCAGGCAGTCAGGAGCAGATACGGCACGTGATTATTGCACCTTTGACCTTGCTCGCCGCTGTTCTCGCCGCTGCCCCCCTCAAATATTTATTCCTTAAGGCAGCAGCAGCAGCGCGACATCAAAACTCGATTCCACGGCCCTCCCTTTTCTTTTTAATTCTCCTGCCCTTTGAATGGAGGAGTCTGATTTCACTCTGTGTCCTCAACTCCTTGCATGTCTCTTTGTTGGAAAATATAAAAGAGATAGAAACAAAGAAAGATTATCTTTCTATATGCCTTTTGCATGCGCTACAAAAGTAAGTTTGTAACTGACAATGAGACTTATTAAAAAATGTTTAAATTTTCATTCCAAAGTTCTCAAATTTATTTGCTCGTAAATGCCTCAAAGGTGATTCATAATAATAAATAGTTTTTTATTCCACAGTTCTAAAAAATTATTCCAATTATTTGAATAAAATGTTCCAATTAACGAGTTGAAACAAAATTAAAATTTCATATCAAATCCTGTACATATCTCATATCTTTAAAATTTGCTTTTGCGCCCTTGAAAATGAATTCTTTGGGCGTCGCTTCGTTTAGGAATTCCATCAAAACCATGAGTGTCCCTTTAACTCGGCCGGAGCAGGCGGTTGCAGGAAGTAGATAAAATTGATGAAAACATTTGACATTTTCCGCGTGTGCTGCTTTGTTAAGGCTGGCACGCGCACTCCTCGTCTGTACTTATTATGAAATGCCAAACCGCAAGAGGGGCGGTTCATCTATGGAAAGCGCCCCCCAAGTGGACGCGATAGCCACAAAACAACCCTAATCTCTTCTGGCCAGATTATGGATGGGCGGAAAATTCACTTCCTGCCACTTGTTTTGGCCAGATAAATTAACCGGGGTTTTCCTTATGTTCTGTCCGACGAAGAATCAAAAGTGCAAGAAAAAATTGAATGCAAAACAAACGCAGTGTTTGTCAACCGCCGGCCTTGATCTTTTGTAATTCGCGAGGTCTCTCCAGCTAGCGCGAGTTCACGCGCAAAAAGCAGGCTCGCGAAAGTTCTCGTTGTTTCGAATTAAGCAGTTTTTTTTATTGTAAAGTGGCCGAAGGAAGGCGTTTAATTTGACATTAGTGGCTTGTTCGCTCTCCCCATTCAGTGATAAGATAAAAAATGTGGAATTTACACCGTGTTATTGTTTGTCGCGCATGCTGAAATGCGAGAGCGGATTGCGCTTCTTGTTATTATTGGGAGGCAGCGCCAGAGGAGCGTCTCTGCTTGCGCACTTCTTTCAACTCGGAGTGCGACGCAAAAAGTCGGTGCAAATAAATGTGCGACTTGAAAGTCGTAAAAATGTAGTTTAATCGCGCCCACTACGCCTGAAATCAATCACCGGGGGAATTAAATTTGACTCTGCGCACTTGCGGGGGTGCACGCCAGCACAGGGTAATTAAACTCCGCTGGAAATGAAGCACTCGGTTATAATGAGGCCATTGCGTCTCTCCATCACACACTTTTGACATTTGGTATTTAAATAGCAGGAAAATTACGACACTTTTCGAAAATGGCTCAATTGAAAAGTAAAGAAGGAAAATAAATAATATAAATTGATTAAAATTTGTCTTTAGAGCACTTTTTTAATAAACAGCTGACCGATTTTTTTTATTAATTCTCTTTATTTTGTTCAATAAAAAGAAGTATCAACGTTTAAAATAATTACAATTATTGCAAATTTAAATCAACCTCAAAAATTCCCAAAATTAAAAAGTAAAAGTTTACCCAAATAGTTAAAGATAAAACAAATTAAAAGTGAAGTATTAGCAGATAAAGACAATTTTTAATGAATCAAACATAAAGAATTGTAAATTGATTTGTTAAATTAAGGTTTTAGATTCTATATTTACGATTATTGTTTATTTTTTTTTTTTAATTTTAAAGTTATTAAACAATATCTAATTTTTTAAATTTTTCTCTACCTTGAAGATAAATAAATCCGAAGAAATTTGTTGTAGAATCATTGCTCAAAATTCAAGGCCCATTGAACCAAAAATGCATTGAAAATGATGAATTTTTCAACAATTCCGGTATCGCTTTTGCCCTCAATTATCAGCAGATCGGCCAACACCTTCACCTCGTATGTCATTGTTGCAATAAGTGGAATGAAGAGCCGAACATTAAAAATCGAAAGGCAGGCTACGAGCCTTCGTTCACGTCGTGCTCCACTTTTGCATGAGCGGCGCACCGACGGTTTTTATTATTTTATTCATTTCTGCAGCGTCCGCCATTCGTTTTCTTTTCTCCAATTGTCGACGCAATGTTTACAAAAAATAATAAAAAAAAATGTCTCCACGTTGAGGGAACAAGTAAAAAAAAGACTGAGCGCAGGCGCCTGCAGGCTTTGGCCGTCAAGCAAGGGTAGCGACGAGAATTGTATTGCTCGGGTTGCGTAAAGGGCAGGCGACGGCGCCCCACTCCGCCGCCGTTCTCCTACCTTTCGCAGCTGGCGCTCAGCTGGTTCTTGTTTTGCTCGGCACCAGCCTTCCTTCCACTAGTCGAGCGCTGAACGTGCACACGTGTGGTACACCCGACCACGTCGCTCTTGACACAAGAAGAAAAGTGCCTTCAGCTTTTCCACAGCAGCTATGTGCGATTTTCCGACGGTGCCTCAGACAAACTCGCCGCTCTGCAGATAGTACTTTCCGGTGCGAACAAAACGTTTCTGGTTTGCATTTTGTTATTTTAACACAAACGCGTGTGACCCACTTGGGACTCAATTTCGCCATGGGTCTGCAAGGTGACCACGAAAGTGGCTACTTCGAGGACGACGAGGAGCTGTCCGAAGACGAACGCCACCAGCACCAACCCGACTCCAGAAGGGTCAGCGATGACCAACCTAAAGGTACAGACAAGCACCGACTTGAAACTTGACCCATTTACCATGTCTAGTCGGCGTGTGCGCAATTGGGTTAATAGGGTGGTTGCGCATTGTTTACTTTTTCATTTTTCCGGCCACACCGAACGCAGGGCAGGATTTTCAATCAAAAACTATTTAGTATATTTGCAATTTTTTTAGAATTAAAAACTAAATTTTCTATTTTTTTTAAATAAATAAAAAATTTTAAATTCATTTATTTCTATCTATGTTATAATAGTTTTGAATAATATGAAAGTCTTAGAAATTATTAATCTTTTTTAAATCTTAGACTTAAGACTTTCTGGAAACTTTTGCCTTAGACTTATTAAACCGCACCACTTCCTTATTATCAAACTGCCGGCGTTGTTTTATTAGAATAATGTGCAAAATTCCCGAAAAGTCGACTTTGCGAGATTTCCGAGCGCCACGCAGCGGTTTTCCCGGCTTCCGGACTTTCCCAGTTGACACCGGTTTTAACTCCTCCTTCGCCGAGCAGTTTTGCTTTCTATTCAATTATCCATATGATAAAAAGCACTTTCCCAGCGGTTACGTTTTTTATTTTTTACTTCACGTCGATATAGGCAAATCGTTTTCCAGCACAATGGAAACTAATTGCATTTGGGAGCGATAATGAAGGAAATAATGCGGGTCGCACATTGCTGCAACTGAGTGTTACAATAAAGTGGGTCTTGGTGTGTTTCTGTGAGGCGAGCGCACAGCAGCTGATGTAACCAACCAACACATAACAAAACTAGGTCGCCGAGCCACAGGGCTGCAACTAGAGGTGTTTCCAACGCGCTTATCTTCCACGTGCTCCACCAGCGAATTTTCCAATCAATTTCGTTTACATAAACTCTCATTGCGCTCTGTTACATAAAACAATTTACATTAATTGTACTTATAGTTCGGTGTAATTACCATGATCCGCGGCCGAGTGAAAGAGTTTGCGCCGCGAGCGGCGTTTTTTACTTTCGTGCTTGGCGCTTGACCTAGTTCTGGACAAATGTCCTTTTGGTAATAACCTAAAAATGAAAATACGTTGAGTAGGTTACATCCGCGTGCCTCTCTATCGCACAATTGTCCCTCTCGCGCGCATTATTATCAGCGCAGATTATAAAAGTTTTGTTCGGGGCTTCCCTGCCTCGAAACCTCTTTAAACTTGCCTAATCAACGAATCGCCTTGAAACCTGAACATATGCTGATGAAAGGGCAAACTTTTATTATTGGCGGATTTTTATGCTGTCATGTACATACACGTATACCTTTGTTTGACGCAATACGTTGAAAGTTTTGATGTGTTCAATGCATAACTCGCAGCACATATCTTTTTCATACACGACCTTGCAGAGAAATTGAAGGCTTTTTCCTTTTGGAAATCCCAATCACTTGCCAAATTTGTGCTCGTACATTTTGGCACTTGAATTAAAAAGAAAGAGTTTTGATTATTCAAATTGAAATAAATTTAAAAAAAAGTTCTAGAAGCTGACGTAACATATGTACCCAAAATTCTAGAACTTGCTTTTAAATTAAGATAGAAAGTAACTGATAAAGTTTATTATATTAATTTCTCTTTATCAAAATTTGCAACTGTAAAGAAGCTCATTTTATTCATTGATTAAAAATCCAAATAATCTTTATTTTTATTTCTTATTGTTTTCAAGTCTCCATATTGACATAGTCGAATATTAAATATTTTTTATAATTATTGTTGTTTATTAAAAAAAAATACTTATATTTGACAATGTCATTATGGAGACTTTAAAAACAATAACAAATTAAAATTAAGATTATTCAGATGTTTACAACAATTGTGATTAAAATTCCAAATATTCTTCCAAAAATCTATCAATTTTTTTATTGTTGTAACCTAATTGTTTATACCAAATTTAAATTTTCAGTGATTACTTAAAGGCACAAACTCAAAATTTCGTTTTTCACAGAATTTTATTAATAGCTTTGACATTTGCATTGACCTCGATCTGGAGGAAAATGCTCAAAATTAGCAGTATCAGCGTCGCAGAAAAGAAAGTGTCAAATTCCAACGCACCTCCAGCACATCACAATGGCAGTTTTCCGAGTGCAGCAGCGGCATGCAAATCAGGTGATCGCGGTTATGCAAGCCAACTTTGACCCACATTTATTAGAATGTGTGCTGCAGCTGGGCGCATGTAAGCGGAAGAGACGCGCAAACGGCCATTTATGCGAAAATTTCGCTTAAATTTGCGGTTTTTCTCGCGCAGCCGAGAAATTATATAAAATTTCCATGGCGCACTCTCAGTCGGCGTTGCAGTTTTCACTTTCTCGCCTAGCCGTTTTATATGGGTCAATGCAGGCAGTGAATGGTACCAGCAGAATCTCTAGCCGCTCTGCTCACACCGAATTATTCGGCTGTGATGCGTTAAATCTGCTGTATCACCTGCATGCCCGCTCAACGCGAAACAAACAATGAAAATACGTTTCTCACTTTGGAAATATAACTGTTTTTGTTTCACTCGGGTGAGTTTTTAATTGATGGCGAAACTTTTATTTTTTTTCTCCAGAAGATGGCCTTTTTTTCATCCCTATTTTATTTTGGACCTATTGAATTTTTTTGCCAACTTGTGAGACTGAGATTGACGCAAGTTGCGGCGACCCTTTGAAGGATATCCGCGTTTGCCATTGAGCTCCGGCTGCTGCGTGGTTTGAAGTAAAAGCAAAGCAGTAATAGCGATTTCGCGCAAAGGGAAACAGGATACGCTCAAGTTGCTTTATTACTGTGTTTCAATTCCACAATTAACTTCACATTCCATTAAATGAGTTTTTGGTCTTAGATCAAATTTTTTGGTTTTTGCTAAATGATAATTTAAAAACTATAGGTTTTAAGAATAAAATGTTGAAAAAAAAAATATTTTTTAATATTAATCCAAACGTGTATAAAATAAATAAACTTTTTTAAATCAAAAACTTATCCTCTTTGGGTGGCCTCGAAGGTTTAATATGATTTTTTATTATCTCTTTAACCTGCGCCACTGGAAGGGCCTATTAATTATTATGAATTGCTGCCAAGTTCACGAAAAATGGTTCAGATCAGGGTGTGCGATAATGCCCAGCTCATTTTTTATTCATTCCGCGAGACGAAAGACCCACTTTGAGCAAATCAATAATCTCTCTCGGCGGCCGCAGCGCTACTTCCCAAGATTAAACTTATTCAGAGTCCCCTTTAGGCGTCGCCTAGCTTCTATTTTTCATGAATGAAACGCCCCCGCGCCTCACCTACGCACACCAATTTTCCTGCTCAATGATATTTCGCGCGCGGGTGACCTCATAACGTTGTATAATAAGAATAAGGCTTTCACCTAGAAAGAAAGAAAAAATTCAGGAGAAAGCGATGCGCGGATTCTTTGACATAATTTTATCGCACTAGATACTTGCAACTTTTGTTGTTCTTCAATTCTTTCAATTAATTTCTATATAAAAGCAAAGGAGCTTTTACTGTTAGGGAATGCGCGCTCGCCGCTACCGGAGGCAAATAAAGTGTGCCATCCTTGCCAACTGCCGTTGTAGCGGTACACACACTCCATAAGCTAAAATTTTTCTCCGACCGTGGGTATTGCACCATCCGCGGCATACCTGGCCAATGCACAAATCTGTGGCCAAGTGAGAGGTTGGGAAATTCAGGCGGCAGGGAGAAGAGAGAGTGAATGCCGCCGCCGCGAGAGAGCTGCCTGCTTTGGGCTCGTGACATTGCCAGTACTGACCCCAATACCTCCCACACGCCCAACCTTGTAATTATTACATTATTTTACATCACCTGTGCGCCGCCGATAGAAGTGCAGCTCACGCGTGCAAACACCATATGGCTGCCTACATTTCCTAGGCTCAGCCTCGGATTTCCCTTCGGCACGGATTTTCATTGGAAATCTATTATTGTAAATTCAGCTCACTTTTAACACCACTAAAAAAGCAATTATTTAAATCTAAAAAAAAAAAAAAATTTAAATCAAATTGTTCTTCTCTTACTTGTTATACAAAAATTGTTAAATCAAGTTAAAAATTAAATTGTAATAATAATTAGAACCAAATAGCGCATCCTTCAGTTCATTTTTTATTGTTATAAATTAAAATAAATTTGTAAAAGTTTATTTAACAACACATCCACGCAGTAATAATATTTGTATTTAAATAGCAAAGTAAAGCTAAAACAAAAAATTTATTTCGACAAGTATGAGGGGGAGTCATATAAATTTATCTAAAGACTAAGTAAACTATTTTTTTTTTAAACTGAGCTCAAATTTAATTTTTAATTTCTTACTGCGTTGTTAATTTTGTTTTGATCTATTTGTTTGTTGATTATTATTATTCTTTTTTAAATATCGCCTCTTATCTCTGCTTTAACCTTTCCAATCGGACGCAACACTGCACGCTCCGTTGACGACACAAACACAGCGCACACTTATTTAGTATTTATTTCGGTTTTGTTACTCGCGGGTATCCAATCGGACTTTCAAATTTCCACGTCCGCAACGCGACGAGAAATGCATACATTTTCTGCTTGTTGACATGTCTGAATTAATTAATATATTGACGAAGGTTGTCCGCATCAGCAGGGTTCATCTCCGACGAGAGCTGATAAGTCGGCCATTAAAATATTACAGCTTATGCAACCGGCAGCGCATCTCTCTCTTTTCATTTCACCAGCAGAGTGAGTGGTTCCCAGTGGCGCTTGGCCCGAGGCGCACTTTCCTCCTTTCGAATTTATCTATTTCTTTCCCCGGCGCGCGGAGATCAAGAGGCTCAGTGCCGTGCCCCCGATTCGGCCATCCACGAGGAGCCGCGCAGCCAGATAAGCCGAGCAAATAACCGACTCAATGTCTTTTAATTATCCAGACAGACGCCTCGAGGACGGGCGTCGCGCGAATTGCAGAGACGAGCGTCCAAATTATCTGTATGGAAATGGAATTGATGTCAAGTTGACGCGCCATTGAAAAATTTGTCCACAAAGAACGCTGGCGTTTCGCAATTTTTTTCTTCTGCTGTTCAATATTCCGCGGCTGCACAATGCATTTTACGACTTTTTAGAACTTATTAAACATATATGTTTGCGCCTCAAATCTCACCGCATCGTTGGCACACGCTCATATGTATATAAATTGTGCAAGAACGGAGCTGCATGATGAGTTTTATTTATCTCAGGAAAAAAATTGCTCAAAAGCGCAGCCTTGGAGGTGCCACTGATTTGAAAAAAAGGGCTGCTTTCCACCTTTTTCTATTGAAAAGGAGGACAAAATTCACACTCGATCGGTATGCAAAAAACACAATTAGCCTGTTGTGAATAAGTGCAGTTAAAAGGCTGATTGATTCGCAGAAAGAAACCCGTTTCTCTTCAGCATAGTTTCGCAAGCGGCGTGACTTTCACTGTCAATTGATGAGATTGTAAAACGAAAAGATAATTGCGTTCAAAAATATTCAATGTGCTTTTTGTTGTTGCAGTTAACCTGACTGGCCGCGGGCGCGTGGACATGTCAAACTTTGAGCTCCTCAAAGTTCTAGGAACTGGAGGTAAGTCGATGATTTATTCCTAAAAATATTTGTATTTTTTTTTTCATTTTAGTAAAAAGTAATTTCAAATGTAAATTTCCTTTGAAAAATCAAATTAAAAAAAATTGTCACCAAAATCAATGAGGTCGATATTAGTAGCTCAGGGTTAGTATGTAGAAGAAGTATTGAATTGCTTTCGCCTTTTAAATCCCTCTAAGGTCGTCTGACCAGATGTTTCCCGGGGCGCAAATCTTGCGTTGAATATCGGTCTTAATTGAAAGGCAGGTGCGAGAGTGTTGCTCCCGTGCAGTATGACCTGCTGGGGATCAGATTGCAGGAATGAGCGAGCACCTGCGGCAACACTGGCAGCTGATGGCCCAGACATTCATTCGAACCCTGTGCGACCCACCTGCTGAGCTCGCCAAGCACACACAGGAAGCTGCAGCGCCTCCCAGAATAATTTTTTCCCCATTCAAAAGCGAATCTCTCATAATTCTTTTGGCGAAAAAGGTGCACGCGTGCTTAGCTCTCTCTGCAGATGCACTCAAGTGCATACACAATGGACGCGCGTGCATCTCGCAGTTTGCGAGCGAATTTCACTTTTCTCGTCTCGAAAGCGACCTTAATGAATTCTCGACGCACTACATTAAATAATCTCCGAGCATCATGGAAGAAAGTGGAATTCTTGCACTTGGCAGGAGAGATGAAGAGGAAATCAATGCCAACGGATAAAAATAAATATTTATAATTTCTGCAAGCTAATCACAGCAGCCTTGATGTCACTCTCTGACCTTTCAACCCGAGCTGATATTATTAAGACCGAGAGCGCGAGAAAATTCTTCCACAAATATTGCGTTTCGTTTTCCTCGCGGGTGGGGAGATTTAATTTTGCGCGCGGAGACAATGCTCTCTGTGTGCTCAGTAAACCGCAAAAAGTAATTCGAGTTCGGAATGACTTGGTAGAAAATATTCCTCGCGTTGCTGCTGCCACTTAGCGTAACTGTTCTTGGCTTTTGATATGTTTTATCAGAGAGGCACAAACAGCAAATATAGCAGCTGCGCGCTGTGTAAATTTCTATGCTGCTCATTTTTTTCGCGTCTGATAAACACAAACCAGCCTCTCCAGCAGCCGCAATTAAACTCTAGATAAATATCAAACACTTAATTTGAATAAGGAATTCCGCTAAAAGTTGAGAATATTTAATTCAAGCCGGACTTAAGCTTTTAATTTTTACCGCAATAAACAAAAACACGCGGCCTTGACTGTTCAATTAACAAGTGGTGCCTGAAAACATGGCGCCACCACCGAACAATGTGGTTTGGCAGCAATTAGCGAGTGATGTGCAGAACAAAGTGCAGCGGCGAGGGGCGTGGCGCGGGCAGCACGTGCATCCTTGGCCTCGATACCTTCTTCTGGATGCACTCTCCGCCATCGCGGCGGCGGCGGCGGCGACCAAATTGATCAATATATTAAGCGCCTCGTCGGAGAGGAATTCGCACAGCCGCCCCCGCCGGCGAAAATGCGTATAAAACGAAATGTGAATGTATAGAAATGGGGAAGATAAGGCTCGGCGGGTCAATTGGAGAAATGTTGTGCGTAATGTGTCCCATCTGATTTGCGCTGGCTGGTGCGATATCGCCCCGCGCTGATGAGACCAATAACCTCATCGCCCGGCGCTCCACGCGCGGCCTTCTGCACCGCCGTTTGCACTCGGATCATCTTTGTTGCGACAATGTAAGATGGGGCATTACAATAATCACACTGACCTTTATTCCTTCCGTGCGGTAATTGACCTTTTCTTAAGATAATAAATAATCCTTATTCCTGAAGATGAAAATTTCTCTTTCACATTTGAAGACTAAATTATTAAAGGAGAGGCTTAAGAAACGAAACAGCACAATTGATTTTGTTGATGGTAATTTTTTTACAGAAGTTTGGTTTGAAGATGTCAGTTCCAAAAAGACATCTAGAATAATTTTATTTTTTATCTTTTGGGAGGACTAATTTTTTGAAATTTAACATGACAATTTTATTAGTTATTTTTTTTTTTCTAAAAATTAGTTGGACCAAAATTGATAAAAATTTCATCAAAATTAAGATGGGAAAATAAAAATAAATAGGCCATGAGTCGACATGAAAAAACGTACACAGATCCTTAGAGAAAGGTTGAGAAGTTTTAGCGTAGATAATTATCATAATCTCCCCGTTGAAATGGACAAAAAATTAAATTGGAAAATAATTTTTAAGCCAAATTAATTGCAATAACCGCTCAGAAAGTACAATTTTTTTAGGTTGCCAGGTAAATTTAAGAAAAAAAAGGCCGGGGGTATTTTTTCTTTCGCAACACAGCAAGTTTAGAGCCAATGTCTATTAGCGTGCGGCGTGCGTTGAACGAACGAAAAAAAAGAAGTGCAGCGGCAGGCATAGGTATTTTCAGATTGGTCCATCCTTTGTTAGTTAACCCATGCACCAAGCTGCGCTAGCGAGCAAGACCGACGGCCGGTGTATTGGCACACAGGCAATGACCGACCGCAAAGTGCCTTGGCATCTCTTTCTTTACTTCTCGTGCAGCCTTCTCTCGGCTGCGCTCTCTCGCACTTGACTTCTTTCTTAAAAAGTGCACAAAACACGTACACACGCGTCGTGAGCAATCGCACGTACCGTTCCCAACTCGGATAAATAAATATATTTCAAATACCTTATAAAATAGATGATAAAATAATTGGGGCGGCGAGTGAGTTTGCTCGGGTTTTCGGAAACTGAGTTGCGCCGAAAATAAAGCCCAAACGCACACCTCTTGCCAAACTTCAAGGTCCCGGCTTGAGAAAAATGTTTTGTGGTTTTATTCTGGTCCGCCGTCTATCCTTTCTGCGTGCTATTGCGGAGAACAGAAGCGCCTCTTCTATTTAATATAATATTCACGATAAACAGAAGGAAAAAGTATCGTCGCGGAGTGTGTATTCTTGAAGTGTGCGATGGTATGCAGCAGAAGCGGAGTTAGCGGTCCTCAGAGTCTAATCTAGTGAGCCGCCTGATCTATTTTTGGTTTCTATACCAAAGCGGCTTGATGAGCGAGAGATTACTCATATAGTGGGGGTGGACCGCGCATTACTTTCATACATGTAGGTCGCAATTAAATAAAAAAATTTCAATGAAATTTGGGAATTGTTGTGTAATTGACAACCCAAGCGCTGTGTTGAAATGGTATTTGAATTTTAAATCGGCCTTTGTTCATTGGGCTGTCAAAGCGTTGGGAAATCTCGTCCGGAGGATAAATAAATAGTTTTCAAAGTCAGTTGGAGGCAAATGAAGCGTGCTCCGAGTTTTTGTTGTGCGACGGCCGTGGAAAGTCCTGCCCGCTCGGCGACACATGCATGTGTGTGTAATTAAGAGGTTTCGTTCGTTATCGCGCACCAGAGGGCAAGCGGACCTCCATTTACTAGCTTGTTATGCACTGGACACTCTCTTGAAAAAATACACCCAGCGAGCGAGAGATTAGTTTGGAATTTCGGTGGAATTACATAGTTGAACTTTTCTCCTTCACATATATAGAAAACCGAAACAAGAGAGATTTCACTCGTGTGCAGGGGAATCCCCAGAAAATAATATAATATGAAATTTTAGTCGCCCTTGTCGCGGATCAGCCGGATTAAGCGCGTTTGTTTATTCTTTGGGCTGCAGCACACATTGTTTCCACAATGTTTTACGCAACTGCTCTCTTCCAAACTACTTTCTTTTTGTTAACAACTTACGCTTGTATGTTATCTCTCTGCAAGGTGGAGTCGCACATAGTCAAATAACTGAGCCCTAGATTTAGAAAATGCAGCTTTTCGAACCAAAAGAATAATGTTTTGTAGTTCACGATCGAGGGTTGAATCATAGTGATTTGAACTTAAAATTCGGCTTTTCCTCAATGGATTTTTGTGAGTTTTTTTATTGTTTAAGAAAAAGTATATCCTGCTCTACATGTTTCGGCTGCGGGCTGCAGCCATGCCATAATAAATGAGCTGTGAAAAATTTTGATAGGAAATGAAAATAACTTTTTCACGAAAAAAGTGTTTATTAAGTTTATTTGAAAGAAAGATATTTAAAAAAAAAAAATGGTTTGTACTAATTCTTGTCAAAGTGTTTTCACAGCTCATGAATTATGGCTGCAGCCCGCAGCCTAAACATGTATTGTTTTTTCTTTAACAATAAAAACTCACTAAAACCCATCAAGGAAAAGCCGAATTTTAAATTCAAATCACCAAGAATTGTTTTATTCTCATTTATTTAATAAAATAAAATTTTAACCCTGCATATTTTTTCTTTCTGGGAATACTTTAATTGAAACCCATGCACTTGTATATAATTGAAACGCCAACCCGCGCCTTAATTAATTTCACAATAAGTAATAAATATGGCGCGTGCAGCGGCATTGTTATTCTGAATGTAATTCAATAAATAGCGCGCAACAATAAGTCGGTGATCTGCAGCGTAAGGTTGCCCCACGTCTGTGCGCGCATGCAAGTGAGCTAAATTTAATTCGAATGCAGAATTAATGAGAATGGCCGCGCGAACACCTGGATTGGTCGGGCACGCGTGGCCTCAGAGGAAAAAGGGTCGCTAAAGCAGACACGTGCGCGCCTATGCACTTTTCCATCTCCAGAGCTTGCCCCATTTTCCGCCGTCGACAGATCGATGCGCGTCTCCGCGGTCTTGATAAGTTTCCATGTGTTTTCTCTTATTTTGCGAAATAATGAAGTCTCGGAAAGCGATGCAAATGTTTTTGTTTTCACGAGAATTGAAATAAAATAATTACGCTGCAGGTGCATGTAGGTCTGTGCTGCGATCGCGGCGGCGGCCATTCACCTTGCTTGGCTTGCACGCTCGCCTTTTTGTCTTTTGCCCCGCGTTGTGTGTACTATTGTCGGGAGAGAGAGACGCGAGAGAGCCACCGGATATAATTATTAACAAAATCACAACGCGCCGCTTCCACCACGTGCACGCCTCCAAGGAAGAGGAGGCACACGCGGCCGCCCGAAAAGCCGATTTTATTCGCGAACGGCAAAATGAGAGTCATCCACCTTGTTAAAAATAAATTTAATCGGCGCCGCCATTTAAAATGCTGCCTTCACACCCGCTAAAATTAGCAGCTCAATCGACAAAAAAACAAGTGCCCCCCGCTGTAGACACGCAAATTTTCAATACATAAGTTCTATAAAATTAAGAAGAAAAAAAAAGCAAATTTGAATATTTAAAAAATTAAATTAAAAAAAAAAACTATAATTAAAAAATTAATATAAATTTTATAAAATTAATATCGATTTTTAACCTTGAGAGTTAGCAACGGTGATTTAAACTTTCAATATATTAACCTTCAGGAATGTGATTAAAAATTGGCCAAATACTAAACGGCGAGTGATTGATTTCGCTCTGAAACCGCTGCGGACCTTGACGATTGAGAATCGGATAGTGCCACGTGACGTGTCAAAATCAAACTATACCAATCGGTGCGAGCGAATTCCACTTTCGCTCACCTTTGAGAGTAAAGTGTACGACCTCATCATAATTCAGTGCGAGAGCGAATATCGTTATTTAACGCGCGAGCTGCGGGTCAGACAAGGCCTACCTTGGAGCAACCCAAATCACTAACTATAATAAATAGTAAGGTCAACCCTGCAAATATTGAATTTCTCCAGATTGAAATGGCAAAAATTCCACCTGCAGTGAAAATAATAAATTGTTTTCGAAGCAGTAAAGCTTCCAACCTGAATAATGAAATGCAAACACTTGGCGGTCACGTGGTGCACACATTTAAATTGCTAATTACGCATCTGCGGGTGAGTCGCCTGGGCACCTCGGCTGACACCTTATCCTCCGCGGACATTGTATTGAAATTCAAATTTTCAAATAAGCTCTGAAAAAATATGCATAAAATCGGATGAAGAAAAAACTGGGTAATTTATTTTTGTTGTGAAAAAAAGAGGAGGTAATTGAAGACGTCGCCCCTAATCAGAGACGGACGCGGCCCCCCGAGGTGCATGAATTAGGGTGCGACAACCCTGTATGTGTCTGTCGGCCGCCGCCGGTGCCACGACAGAGAGATTATTATTTTGTCGAGGCGAGCAGCGCCGAGAGCTTCCCTAAGGTCGATGTCCGCCGCTCTCAGGATAACGGAGAAGGCCGAAGCTCGACGCCGCCGCCGCCACAGCGACAATCGTACCGTAATGCAGGCGAAAAATGGGGGTCCTCGATCGTTTTTGATAAAAATGGAAATGTTTGATAAAAGCGGAAACCCCGCCGGGGCCATCAAAGAGGGCGTAATTGCGACTGCTCGCGGAGCCATTTTGGTCTCTCTGCCGTATTTCCAAATAAACTTATCTTGATTTTGGCGACTTTTTTCTGAGGGGGAAACGAGCTCGTGTTGAATAACCTGTAGGAAAAATGCAAAAGCAGCTGCTTCTCCCCGAGTTTTATATTCCGCGAGTTCCTCAAGCGTAACTGCAGCAGGTAAAAAGGCAGTGGAAATTCGCCAGCAAGCTGGTCAGGGCATCGCAGACGGGTTCAAGGCCGCTTCTAACGGGTTGGCTGCCGGCAAGGTAGCTCGACCAAATAATGCTCTGGACCAAAATTTTCCCAGCAACAATAGGACAATCTAGAGAATTAATTCTTTAATTTGTTATTTCAAACATAGGGGGAAAAAACAGATAATTGATTATTTGTGAAATTATTTATTTATGTGAATCTTTCCTCATTTTATAATCAAAAGTTTATTATATATTTATTCACCATTGATTTTAATTATGAAAAGTCGAAAAATGTGAATTGGTAACTTGCTATATTAATAGTTCATTTATTGTTTTTTTAAATTAATAAATTTAATTTAATAAAAAATTTATAGTCCTTGGGAAATGATATGGATTCCATGAATTTTTTTGTTTGATCTATTTTTCTAAGGAAAATGTAGTAGGATACAATTTTAATAATTTAAAATATTGAGCTCTATACGTTTAATAAAAAATAAAATTTTAACTTAAATTCACAATATTTTTCAAATGTATGACAAAAATATTGCCATTAAAAAAAATTATTATTATCATTATTTTTAAAATCTCAAATATTTTAAAATATAATAAAATAATAAATCATAATAACTATAAAAGTAAATAAACTGAAAAGAATTGATTCGTTTTTTGCAGACTTAAAGTAAATTATTTCTTTTCATAAATTTCATATAGATTTTAATAATATTTTTCATTTTTAATATAAATAATTTTTGTAAATATTGCTCTTAAGCATGGCTCGTAAATAATACATTACTTTCAATTGCAATCTTATTTATCTTATTTTGCCGTGGTGCGCTTACGTACTATCTCTCTTTGCAAGCCCTTGGAGTGTCTTGTAAATTAAAGCGTCTGCACGTTAGAGAAAGTTCCGCTCGCGTGTGTTTTATTTTTAACCGCCTTCACGAGTGCATACGCGATGAGGCTTTGAAATTCAATTCGAGTGCACCGCTTCGGCTGGAAATGCCGATTTGAATGCACCTCGGAAAATGGGCGTCGTGTTTTTGTGCCGGCGGCGCTGCCCCGCCGCCGCCGCATAAAACTGCTCTACGTTCTGTATCGATCAGAGCCGTGAGCATTTTGTACACGTGCCGCAATCAATATGGACAACAACACACGCGCTCCGCGAAAAGAAAAAAAAATCAAACGTACATACATGAACCTGTATTATGTGCGTCTACAATAATGCACACACGCAATATGCAAATGTGCAGCTGACAGCAGGATATTGGGTGGATTATGTCAAGGGAAATAATTATTGTCTTCCATCTAAATCGCATTGTTTTCCAAGGTGAAATAACCAAACAATATTATACACTTGAATTTCTTTTGTAAATTCGGTAAAGGAAATATTAAAAAATATTTAATTTTAATGGTGGGGCCAAAATTCATTAAAAATTCGAAACTGGGCGAAGCTCCTTGCGAGAGAAATGAAAAAATAAAAGGACAACTGATCCTTAAGGCTGGATTTTGTCGTGTTCAACTAGAAGTAATTGGAAGGTAATAATAGAATAAAAATTTAAAAAAAAAATCAGAGGTTTTAATCAAACAATAAAAAATTGAAGAAATTAATTTGACTGTCTCCTTTGTGCTTAATAAATTTCTGAAAATTTTGTTTATTAATTTAAAATCACCAAATTTTCACTTTTTTTTATAAATTTCTCCCGCTTGGTTTTACTTGGACACGTCAAAGTTTAATTTTTTCATTTATCTTTGCAACAAGTTTCGCCTGGTTTCAATTTTCCATGAAATTCACCTCCTTTAAAAAAATCCTTGTTTTTATTTAATGAAAATTTTTCATACTTTTGGAATATTATATTATATTTTATTTGATAAAATTTGATATTAAAACTCCACATTAATTGACTTAGCAAACATAAATAAATCGAAAATCTCATTAAATAATTAAATATAAATTTATTCTACTAATTTTCCATAAATTTTGATCTGAATTTTACACAATATATTTTCTTTGTTTGCAGCTTACGGAAAAGTTTTCCTGGTGCGCAAGGTGGGCGGACAGGACAGCGGAAGACTCTACGCCATGAAAGTATTGAAGAAAGCAACGATTGTGCAGAAAAAAAAGACCACCGAGCACACCAAGACCGAGAGACAGGTCCTGGAGGCGGTGCGGCAGTCGCCCTTTCTCGTCACCCTGCACTACGCCTTCCAGACCGAGGCCAAACTCCACCTCATCCTCGGTGAGTGAATCTTTCGATTATTTAAAAAAAAAAGCGGTGGCTGGCACAAGAAAATAAAAGAAAATAACAATGGGAATTTTGAGTGAAAGTAAAAAATTCAGCCGCGCGCGGAGAGAGAAAGTAAGTGCAAGAAAAGGAATTAAGCTGGCTGCTCTGCAGACTTTCTACTTTTATATATTTTAATGCGGCCGTTTTTCTGCCATGTGAGCGAATTATCACAATGGAATTTGATATATTTAGGTCAAGCTTGATCAAGTTTTGAATCATCCTCTGGCAGGTGGGCCTATTAATAGAAATATATATTCTCTTCTTGAAAACAAAATTACATCACTTTTGCATAAAGGCTTATTTATGGACGCGTTTCTGCAAATACTGGCGCCGCGGCCAAAAATAAAACGGAGCGCGCCGGAAAATCGATTCTCATTACGCGTCGCACTCGGAAATACAATACACAGTAAATTTGTTTTCTACCAAGCTGCTCTTACGGAATTACATAATGAGCGAAATTTCTGTTTCTTCTGCGCAAATTTTCCGCGAATCCATTGATTAGAATTTTTTGTGCGATTACTGACGACAGAAGTTGCTGGATCGAGGATCGGAATTTCTCGGAAGTGTCGACCTCCTTTCTCGGAAGTGTTGCGAAAACCGTTCGGTTCGCCAAGTGCACTTCTCGGTAGCCGCGGCTTTAGTCTCTGTGGCCACTACTGCGTACCAGCACTTCTCAGTCAGTGTACGCTGCCTTTCTTTCTACGCCGCGCACACCCCGCGCGACCTCGTTTCGCACACACGCGAATCTAATACAAAAACATACACCCTCCATATTTGATCACACTCGTTGACAAAGTCACAAAAACGTGCGACGGAAATTCCAATTTCTTAATGCTTTAATGTTTATATTTCCAAATTGTTACATCACATTGTTGCAATTTGGGCTAAATAACAATAGTAATAATAATATATTATTTGCTTATCACAATCAAAATTTAAATTATTAATTTAAATTAAATTCAAAAATATTTCATTTAATTAGTTTAAAATTTTTAGGGTATTTTGTAAATTTAAATTATAATAAGAAACAACACATTTTTCATCTCAAAATCACTCTAACTAATTATTTTCGCCTCCCATAAATTGAAATTTGCAAAAATTTTGAATACCTTATTAATTAAATTGTAGTCTCAAAATGATTGAATTACTATTTTCCAACAATATTTGCATTTGAAATAAGGATGTCGATTGAGTAAAATGTTTTGTATGGTGATTGAATCGCAATCCTAGTTTTTGCAAACCTAACCTAGGCCAAAAGCAAGCAAGGTCTGCGCGGCCAGTCGGGGGAAGCGCGGAATGCTCAAGGCTGAATGTATTAGCCTCGTTTCGCGGAGGAGGGGCTTTCGCAGCTCTCTTCTTCATCTCTTCGGAACACGTCGTCTTATGCAATTGAAACAATCGCATCCAATCTGACAAGAGGCAGCGGCGATGCACGTGTGGCTTTTTTTGCAGCGCACCTTCCGCGATTTTTGCACAAGATCGATCCGGTGTCGATCAGCTGACTCGGAGCTAGGCAAGGTCGAAGGCAGTTGCGAAAAAATAATTTATGCACAATTTCATCCTCTCTCTTGGCAAAACTTGAGCCGTTCGTGGAAATCGTCCCATCCTTCTTTTTATGCGTGAAACAAAAAACTGTCTTTCCTTGTTCTTTTCCAAGAAATTTATATAAAGAAAAATTGCATCGATTTTTATTTCTTGTTCCATATTTGCTCGGGACAAACACATTCCGCGGCCATGTTGATTAGCTCTAATTAATAGTCGCGGCGCAAACACTCTTCGTAATTGCATTGAAAGCTGGTTAGAAAAGAAATCGCCTCTGGTTTCGAGAAGGCGCCCTTGCTTATCCTTGGTACGCCTCTCATTACGTGCACAAATAAATACACCTGTGCGCGCCACTTACTTGCAAATTTTGAGGGTCACGAGCATGTTTGCGCATTAGTACAAAATATTGTAATAATACATCTGCCAAGCGGGGAAAGCGGCGATTGTGTGTGCTCAAGTGACGCGTCTGCAACTTGTATTGCATTTTTAAGCTGCGCAAATAGTCTTATATTGGAATATGAAATTAAAATTAGTTTATTTTTCTGTTATTTCTCATTTGCAAAATGAAATTCATCAAAAGCAGCTGTAATTCACCTTTAATAAAAACCGCAGTATTTTCAATTTTTAAAGAAAAAAAATTAATACATATTAAATAAGCATTTATTTACTATGAATAGCGTCATAATTTAATTTTTTACCAAATGAAATGGAAAAAAATAAATAGAAGTAAAAATTATGTATAAATAAAATGCAAAAAATAAAATGAATTATATTAAATAATATAAACATGGTATATTAATTAATTAAGTTAAATATTGGGTATTTAAATATATTGCAACTTTTAAAGGAACTAAACAATATCGTTAATCAGTTTTAAGTTAAAATTTTTATTTTAAAATTAAAATCTAATCAACCCATATATTATTTAACAGACACACCCTCAAGAAATAAGAAATTATTTAAATATATAAAAGACTACATTAATTACGTCACAAATTTAATTTTATTGAAGAATTTGCAGGCGGAAATATTATGCAAGAGCGAAATCCAATCAAGATGCGATCAATACGTTACGTAACTTTGAAAAACGAGATACGCTTGCTTATTTTAATCAAACCGCACGTGAGCATTATTATTATTATTATTTTACATCATAATATTAAGGCAGAAAAGCGCATGCACATGATAATGCACAAATACGGCGCTACAGTTTTGCAACATCCGCGCTTTGTCTCATCTCGTTACCTGCTCTCTCTTGTAATATATTTTTCTATTGTGCATGAAAATCCGCCCATTATCTGCCTGCGGTGCTGGGACGGTCTCTTCAACTCCCTCTTCTGTGCAGATTTTTTTTCACCCGCGCGCGCGACAAGTGCATTTGATCCAACCTTGCAACTCTCAAGGCTCGTTGCAGCGACCTCGCGTGCACTGCGCTTTTTCAACGGCCGGAAAAGTTGGCCTATCAGGTTTTGCTAGCTGGAAATTGCACGATTTTTTTTATTATTATTTCTCTTCGTGCTCGCCTTGATGCTTAATAAAAACAGCCATCGATATCGCAACAAACTCTCGTCGGAGGATGAAAAGTCATGACTTTATAAGGTTGCGAAATTTCAGGTGGATCGTGCAAATAAAAAGTTGCTTTGGAAAAAAATTGTTGCGATCTTTATAGTTTTGATCTGTTTGGGCGTCACGCGGTGCAGATCCGCTAAAAGGCGGAAAATTCGTCTTTCTAACGGCAATCGGCGCCACATAATTTAGCAAATTAAATGACTGGAATGGAATTCGTTGAGCCGAACGTCATTTTTTTCTGTCATTACCTTTTTTGCCAAATTTGACACCATCAGCCAAGGGAACGGAAAATTGCTAATTCACATTTAAATTCTAAAAAAAATTCAAGTAATGTGAAAAATTATTAGTTTCTTGCTCTGGAATTTTCGTGGTTGGTATTTTTTCAGTTGAAGTTTGACACACATGTCCTTGGTTAGTAATGCCGTATTGCAAAAAGACGATAATCAGGAGCACCGCAGAGAAATTGTAATAACCACGGGGCGTGAGCCAGCAAGACACTTCCTGCTCTTTTTCATTAGTCGTAAATCGCACAATTGTTTAATATTTATATTATATATTTCTGACCCGAATGTCTTTCGAATATTGTCCGTCAAAACCTGTAAAATCTTTCTTTAAACAAACGAGCAGAATGGAAATTTTAACCGCGGGAGCATCTTCGTGACACAATAATAATTGCGCTTGTTAATTATATATTCAGACACTCAATCCGCCTGTGGGCTTGATGTGATCATTCTCAAATATCTAGTGAAAGGAGCACACGTGAGAACGGTGGTGAATGTGGAATTCTTTCAAACTGATTTATACATTTAAAATAATTTCAAATTAAAAATTAATAACAATATCCAACTTGCAACTGGCGACGAAAAGCCAAAGCAGTTATAACTGTGAAGAGACGAAGGCCGCTATTTAATAAACAGAGACATGAGAAGAGAAAGGATGGCCATAGCGACCGAAAATGTTTGAAGGGTTCAACAAGAGACGCATTTTTTTATAATTTTCTTTTGCAAATGACGCGCGTGCCACATTTATTACGAGTTGACATACAGGCATATTTTTTCATGATTCGCAGATTCGATTTTATTAGAAAGTTTCGATTAGGCGACGAAAATAGACCGCGTGAGTCAAAATGGCGATGGTGTTGCAAAATTTTCAAAGCCAAGTGCGGCGCACAATTGTCATAAATATAAACCAAGGCCGAATTTTAGCATTGACCATTTTAAATCTCCCAATGAACGCGCCGGAGCTCATGTCAGGCCCAGTGCGTTGAAATTTTTGAAGCAGAAAATTCTCTCCTTTATCGTTACAAAACGCACCTTTTTAAAAATATATGTTTTTCTCCCTCTGGAATGCAATTGCATCACCCTGTAGAGGAGGTTTCTCTTCCTGCCTGCAAAAATCCAAGAAAACAACATTATTTACAGTTTTGTTTTCAAGCAATTTTTGTTAAAATAAAACGATATTTTGAGTTTCTTCTTTTGCAAATTAAGAATTAAGTCGCCCCACTTCTTGTCTTCTCTCCTTGACAAAAGGCCGCACGGGAATAATTGACATTATTATGGCATCGATTATAACCGTTTACACTTTGTCAGTTTGCTGCTGCCGGCATCATTTCATTCGGAAGGCATGCAACGGAATCTGCCTCGCAGCCGCTGCTCGATGCAAGCAAGACCCACTTGATACGCCCCAGAAATCGCCACAATCGCAGTCTTGCGAATCCACTATGTGCCGCGAGTGCACTATTCGACTGAAACAAAAAAATTAAATCTTACCTTGAGTTGAATTTTTGCGCAGCGCCAAAAGAAGAAAAAATTTACAAAATAATTAACACTTTTTAAAACCTGATGTTTCAGCAAATTCCTTTTATTTGCAAAATACTTAATAAGAATTTGCTAATTTCATCCTCGCTGATTGTTTCAGATTATGTTTCCGGGGGTGAGTTGTTCACTCACCTGTACCAGAGGGAGCACTTCACCGAGGAGGAGGTGCGTCTCTATGTGGGCGAAATCGTGCTGGCCCTCGAGCATTTGCATAAGGTGAGTCCAAATAACCCAAGTATATATAAATCATGGCACAGATCAGCTTGTTTTCGCGACGGGGCTGCTTCCGATCAAGCCACCCACTCCATCTCGTCATTTTGATTCGCTCAGAGTTGCTATTTTCGCCACTGATAATAGGCAGTGTGTGACGCACTAGCGAAATTGCGACGAAAACAGAATTCGTCTCGTTTCCTGGCGCTTCAATTATTATTTTATTCCGTCAAACGACCTAAGAAAACTATTTCTATAACCCATAATTGACCGTCTCATGTCATTTTATTCCGAGCTATTTTTATTTTATTTTATAAGATTATTATTTATTTATTAATTTTGACATTATCGAAACTTTGATCCACCCTTTCTATTATCTACGGTGTCTTTAAATTAATCGTCAATTACGAAATTCCATCAGTTGGTACCGACAGGAAGTGGTGGCGCGGATTATTATTGTGGACACAAGTTTATATATTGGTAGAGTCGCATTGGCTGTCGGTTAATGGAATTATTTCTCATATACATAGCAGTGGGCGAGCCAAGACGAAAGAAATAAATAATGCACTCAAGACGACGAGACCAACTGCAGGGCAAACACATTCTTTGAATTGATAGAGTCAATAATGAATTGTCGTGATTTACCAAACTTTGTTATTATGTTCTCAATAAGTACCAAGAATCTATTACAAAACGGCTGCGCTTTCATTAATTATCTAAGTGTCAGCAAATAAGAAATGCTATTTTGACAACGCTTGGAAACAACTCTTGAAATTTCGCAATTAAAATCACGTCTGTTTGGTGAATTTGTTAAAAATAAATAAATACATCTTCAAGGGCGCAGCTGGAAAAACTACGCAGCTTTTAAACATTTAAAAATTATTTTGCTCGGCGATTGTAATAATAAGGTGAGATCTTGCAAGCGTTGATAAGGACTGACTTGACCCCAATTCGCACGTGCTGGACATTCTCGCGCGTCAATACTGCAAAAATATGTTTTTCGCAATTGAATTGGCCAACGCCTGCTCGGAGAACCGGGCACCTTATTCTCAGATAAAGTTTTCGCAGCTCCGATAGCTCAAATGGGTCAGTTTTATCTGTTGTGTGCCTTGATGGACACGCGGATGGCGATTTAAGGTCGCGCTGACGAGATTGTCGGTCGCAACTCGTTCGCTGCAGATAAACAGGAAATAAAGGCTCTCGCATTGCATATATATGATGGAGGTGCTGCTGCGATGTTATAAGGTTTGAAGGCGCCAAGGATGCACTCGAATTGTGCCGACTCACTGCGCCGACTTTGCCCATTAGCACTGACCTTTCTAAATGGAAAATTACGCTCTCGTTCGTTTGATGCAAAACTCGGAAAATGGCGGACGGAAATTGTCAACTCGGGTGGCAATAAACGTGCCGGCAAAATTCATCTGCACAAAAATAAAAATTATATAGCTTCCTGAAAAATAGAGAATTTTCCCCATGGAAACAACACGATTTTTATAATTTTTAAACATACTTTTATTCATCTATAATTTTTTAATTGAATATATTTGTAACGCCTTTGGTTTTATATTTTTATATCTGCGTGAAATCTGCTCGCCTCTCTAAATTTTGCACAGGCCAGTTTTCCAAATTCGTCCAGCGCCTCGGGAGCAAATCGGTGTACACACGTGTAATGAAATGCCAAAATTAAAAAAGCTCTCTGCGAAAGTTATACACGAGTTGCCTAACTATTATGGCGTTGGTGTGTGTTTGAATTAGCATTTATTTGCTGTTGGAAGATATAATGAAGAAAGTTTTTTTCCAGTTGGAGTGAAAAATTCGCGGATATTTTATATTATGTGGAGCGTGGGACTGGGAGAATTCTCGCATTGTCGGTACTCGCACCGTTTTATATTTGGGAGTGAAAAGAAAAAAGAATGCCAGTAGGAGATGATACCGCTATGCGAGCATCCTTTCCTTTCTCCCTCTTTTGTAACAGACCCTCGAGCTGGCGCACAAGTGAAATTTTTCTATAACACGCGTTCAATTCCGCACCACTTATTGGAAATTGAGCGGAGGCGGTTTTTTGTTGTTGCCAATTGACAATCAAGAGTGCAACAACTATTTTGTCCGCGCGGCGAGAAAGGGAACGCCTCGCTTGTGACCCAGATAGGCGCTGCCGGTAAATTAATTAAAAGCTGGTCTCCGCGATCGTCGTATTATTTTCTCCAATTAAAACTAGAGCAGCGGAATTAATGAATTCGCCCATTTGTTTCAGCTGGGAATCATTTACCGTGATATAAAGTTAGAGAATATTCTCCTCGACCGCGATGGACACATCGTCCTCACCGACTTCGGACTGAGCAAGGAGTTTTTACCTCACGAAAAGGTTTGTATAATTTCCTATAAAAAATAATAATTATTAATAAATAAATTAGATGATTTGAAAGAAAAAATTCATAAAGTATTTTAATTGATAAAAGCAATTTTCTAATTTATTCTCTATTTATAATCAAGGCTAATTTCGTTGCTATTTTATTTGCAGGATCAGAGAGCGTACTCGTTTTGCGGGACCATCGAGTACATGGCTCCGGAGGTTGTGAGGGGTGGCAGTGCTGGACATGATATTGTAAGTGAATTTTTCTTCCTTTCGGAATTGGCGACGAAAGCGATTCGCAACAGCAGGTGAATTTTCGTTAAATAACACAAACAATAATTGATACAACGTGTTACGGAATGGAGAAAGTGCACGCTGCGTGGATAGAAAGAGACGCCGAGCAAAATTGATGTAGTTTGCGGTGGCAGAGAGCCGTTTCCTCGCTCGGTGTCCCACTTTCTGTGACCGACATTTCGCACTTTGTACAATTCGTTCGAGCAGAGTACAAGAAGAAGGCAATCCTCTCTTCTTCTTCCTTGGCCGAACGAGAAAAATAAATGTTGTACCGTTTTATTGTTTTTGGCTGACTTTTCGACCGGAATGGGGGCACCTCTCTCTGATTGAGTTATCAAATCCAAATTCTCTGAGCGGCAACGTGACTTTTTGTATTTTCATCCCTCTTTTGGTCTTCTTTGCTGATGAAAAAATCATTTTTATGCCATCAAAGGCGCAAATATCGATCAGCACTGAAAATAGAACGCCTTGAATCACGTTGACCCATCTCTCTCGTTTTGTTCTCGGCGCAGAGACCAATCAACAAGGTGGTGCAAAAGCGTGCTCGGGAGACTCCAAAAGTGTGCGTTTTGCGTTCTTTTCTATTTTCGCCCTTGCACGTGCGACTTTGACATTCACGTGCAGTCACTTTCCCGAGCACAGACCGCCTTGTGATATCTCTCCAGCCAGGACTTTCTACACCTCATGATATCAAAAAGCCACGAACGCAACTCAAGCCGAGCAGAAAACTCGCTCTTTTATTCAGCCAGACCATTTTTTAAGGTCTGAAAAAATAAATAATTCCCTGCTGTTGATGAAAGCTCAATGTTGAAACTAAATATTCATTCAAATTAATTTCGTTTTTTCAAATTTAAATAATTTTTTTAGGCCGTCGATTGGTGGAGTGTCGGTGTTTTGACCTACGAACTTCTGACTGGTGCCTCTCCTTTCACTGTTGACGGTGAAAAGAACACCCAGCCTGAGATTTCCAAGTAAGTACACATATATTCCTCAAATTCCACCAGAGACCTCTTTTCACAAGCAAATGTCAACCGCTTCTTTCAGACGAATCTTGAAGCAAGAGCCGCCGATTCCGGACAATCTTTCACCCGCTACGGCCAACTTTATCTCCAGACTGCTTGTGAAAGACCCGAGGAAGAGGCTCGGCGGCGGACCCTCCGACGCCGACGAACTGAAGCAGCACCCTTTCTTTGAGGTCAGTTCGATTTGAATTGAAATGAAGCAATGTAACATTAAAAACGTCAATTACAGGGTATGGATTGGGAATTGCTATCCAAGAAGGCGATCCCGGCACCTTTCATTCCAAAGTTAACCAACGAGCTAGACACCAGCAACTTTAGTGAAGAGTTCACAAAAATGACACCCACAGACTCTCCCGCTGTTGTACCTCCTAATTTTGATAAGATTTTCAAGGTGAGTTAATTTCCTTCAAGGCAGACAACCTTAATCATTAACACAATTAGACCGAATTCCATTATCAGAGGCTACAATATAATCATTAACAATTGGCCTCAAAATAAAAAATCGGAGCTGATAAATGTCTCTGCACAATTGCTATTTTTAGAAACATATTTCATTAATTACCTCTGAAATAATACCAATTTTTATTCCAGGGCTACTCGTATGTGGCGCCGTCAATCCTGTTCAGCGAAAACGTCATTTCGGACCACTTGCTGCACCGACCAGACACCTCTAGTCTTAGTTCCTCCAACAAACTGATGGACTCGCCCTTCTTCCAAAACTACGACCTGGACCTGGACGGCTCCATCCTTGGTGACGGCAGCTTCTCGGTGTGCCGCAAGTGCAGACACCGACAGACCGGCGTTGAGTACGCGGTCAAAATCGTGAGTCGGCGAATCGACTGCACCCAAGAGGTCAACTTGCTGCGCGCCTGCCAGGGCCACCCCAACGTGGTCAAGCTGGAGGAGGTTTTCCACGACGAGGCGCACACCTACCTGGTGCTGGAACTGCTCAAGGGCGGCGAGTTGCTCGAGCGGATTCGCAAGAAGCAAAAGTTCACCGAGAGTGAGGCCAGCAGGATCATGAGGCAGCTCGTCTCGGCCGTCAGCTTCATGCACTCCAGGGGAGTCGTCCACCGAGATCTTAAGCCTGAGGTGAGAGTTTTTGAATTTTTATTAAAATTCTTCGTGCTGAAGAAATCAGCGACCTTCTCAATCAACTAGTCAGAACTTTGGCAGCTAATCTTTAATTTTTGTGTCCACAGAATCTGCTATTCACCAATTCATCTGATAATGCTGACATCAAGATTGTTGACTTTGGCTTTGCAAGACTGAAGCAAGAGAATAAGCCAATGTTGACACCTTGTTTTACTTTGCATTATGCAGCCCCCGAGGTTTTGAAACAAGCCATCAACAAAAGCAGCGGAGGCTACGATGAGACCTGTGATCTTTGGAGTTTGGGTGTTATTTTGGTAGGTTTTTGTTTGTTTATTCAGAATAAATTTTACTGCCAGAAATCACTTTCACTTAATCTATTCTAATGGTTAAATAAAATAAATAGTTGCATCAATACTGTAGAAATTATTTTATCTAACCAAATATTAAATTTAAAAAAGTTAAAACTTAAAAAAAAAATAAAGAGTGATATTTTGAATGTATTTAAGAAATACGTTGCAATTCAAATGTATTAATTTTTTTAACATTTTGATTTTGCATTTGCAGTATACAATGTTGTCCGGTCGGGCGCCCTTCCACGCGCGCAGCAGGGACGATAGCGCAGCAGCTGTGATGGCCCGAATCAAGGGCGGCGAATTCTCATTCTCGGCGGACGCGTGGTGCCACGTGTCGTCGGCGGCCAAGCGTGTGACCCGCGGCCTGCTGACTGTCGACCCCAAGCAGCGGCTGACCATTGGGGCGCTGCACTCGAATGAGTGGCTGCAGGGCACGGGGCCTTTCCCGGCCACGCCACTCATGACCCCGGACGTGCTGGGCGCGTCAACGCGCTCTGTCGAAATGGGGGTTGCCCAAACCTTCAGTGCATTCCACCGAGCTCACCGAGAGGGATTCAGACTGCAGGAGGTGTCCAACGCCAAGTTGGCGCAGCGGAGGCGCATGAAGAAGTCATCCACGGACAACAGGAGTAGCTCAACTTCCAGCAGCTTCTCTTCCTCCAGTTCCTCAGGTAAATTTCATATTCATTATTTATTTATAAAAAAAATAATAATAATGAAGTGGATTATTCCCCAGATACAATGAAATAATTTCATACATTAAGAAATTTTGATGTTTATTATTTTTAAATTAGTAATTTTTTTCAAAATGTAAAAATTTAGGGTAAAATTTCTTTGCAAATTATTCTTACAAATTGTATAATATTAAATTTTGTTTTAGGCACTTCGTCCATAATCCAAACTCCAAGCAAAGCAACTCAGTCGAGCTCCAATTCGTCCCTCGGCCCGTCTCCCGGCAAGTCCACTGACAACATTTTCAATTTTGGAGAGGCGCGCGTACAGGAGTACCTGTCCAGCCTGTCCGAAGAGTCGCGCTCGAACGAAGACGACCTGAGTCCCATCCTGCTGCAGCTCCCGTGCCACGAGAGTCCCCCGCTGGGCCCCGTCACTCGATCTCGCAAGCGCAAGCAGCAGGAGCACGACCCTTCCGGCTCTCTCAACCTCTCCTCCTCTCTCAGACACCGCAAGCGGCACAAAAGGACACAAAACAGGCCAGGGACCATTGTGTTGGAGTGATAGGCTAGTGAAACAAAATTTCAAACATACAGCTTTTTCGAGTTGACCATTCGACTAAAAGAGAGAGTTTAATGCTTTGTTGCATTTTTACACAAGCGTATTTTTATACATGAGATAAAAAGAGGAGAGGGATAATTTTATCCCCGTTTCATAAAATTGGTAGCCCCAAACCGTTTATCATCTTTGAAGGTTCTTTTCTGTGAATCTAGTCATACACACATACCTATTTTATTTATTATTTATTGAAAGACATCATGCAGGAACAATAATGTAATCAATTTGGTTGTTTCGTAAATGAACCAACCTTGACCTCTAAGGCTTATTTGTGTGAGAGACAAATAATGTATAAAAGTATCATCTCTCAAGAATCAGTTTTCAGTCGAGTGGTTATGCTCTGGAAGCCGTAAGAGCAAAGGGCGCTGTGAAAAGAGCCTTTCAATTGTGTTACTAATTTCTTAGTTGAGAATTAGTTATTGTTATGCAGATGAAAGATATTTTATTATTAAAAATGAAAAGAACGTGCGACAATTTAGTCAAGCCTGGACCGATGTGTATGTTTACGATGGAGGCAATCAAAATCAAATTCGGTCCTGAGTCCAGATTCAATTATATATTGCCAGTGATCAATCAGTGCCCACTCAATGATAGGTGGGTAGAGAAACTGCGAAGTGAAGAAAGGGTGTGTCTATTTTGAATGTGCCGCGGAGATGAACGTTAGCGAATAGCAGAGATATATCCGAGGTGAAAAGTAAATATTCACTCTATTGAACATATTCCACTTGTTAAGTATAAAAACCGCTGATTTTTTCTCATTATATTATATATGACATCTTATTATTGTTTTGTGTTGTTTAGAGGGAAAGATTATTTAAATTATGTATCTGTTGTGACTAAAAGTATTTGTAAGAAGAACACAGCCGACAACTGGCTGACTTAACACCTGGAACTCTTTACCGCACTAGAGAGACAAACCAACTTTCTTAACAAGATATTTGGCATCAAAATAAAATTGTTTTCAATTGAAACCCACGCTTTTCATTTCTCCACACCAACGCACTAAGAAATTATTCTAAATTAATAGAAATACTAAAGTTACATTCACAGCACTTTGAAGTTTGCATTTTAATTAAGTATTATTGAAAAATTTATAAATTTTTGAACCCTTAATATTTGTCGAATTGATTGTAAATTACTCAGATATTTTTGTATTTTATCAACTCAAGAATTTGCAGTTAACATTATGACATTTTTGATCATATCAATTAGTTTAAATATTGAAAAGAAACCTCAAGTTAAGAAACCATATTAAAATGGAAATAAAATCACAATGTGAAGTTGCTATACCGAACAAAAAAATATAGTTAGGATTAATTTAAATTAAAATGCAGTGTTATTTTAAAATTATTTTCAGAATACTCTCTTTTTTGAAATATTATTTAAGTAACTTTTGCATTTTTAATTTTAAGAAAAGGGTCATACTATATTTATAATTTTTTCAAATGTCAGAACAATTATTTCAAATAAACACGCGTTTGTTGAAAGAAAAAATTTAAACAATCAAAATTCAAGTGATTGTTGGGTCTAACAGAGTTTCCGTTGACATTCTTGCTTCTAAAATCGTATTCAAATTCAAACGTCCAGATTTTCTAAATTCTGTGATGCCGCGACCGCTTGGACGCAATTTAACTGCAAGGATTATGACGGACCTGCCTAGTTTGGAGCACTTTGCGTGGCGAGAGGAGGCGATCAAGGGCGGGAAGGCCATTCTTGAGAGTCGCCTGCAGCCATGGATCGCCCAAGAGGATGGAAAATTCTCCGCAAGCAAGCCCTGGCAGGAGGTGATCCTTCAGAAGACCACCAGTTCGGGACAGGTCGCGCTCTCCGGAGTCATGCACTTCTCACCAGGAAAGGCGCGCGAGATTTTTCTCCCGCCTGCGATTCTCAGCTCGCTCGGAGTTGCCAAAGACCGTTTTGGTGCGCATCATCAATCCGCCGTTGGCCACGTCCGTGACTTTGAATCTTGACGAGCAAGAGGCTGCCGCGGCGGCCAAGAACATGCTGAGGTTGATGGTCGCGCGCAGCAATGGCCGGAAGATCAACGTTGGAAGAACGGAACATCCTTTTGCCCCAGAACCTACTGGAACTTGGCGTTCGATTTTTCAAGAACACATGTCAAGGAGGCATTTCCAAGCAACGCAGAACAACATGAGAAATTCTGTGTGAAACCAAGTTTGATATAAATAATAATAAATTTTGGGATACTTTAATTTGAGAAAGAAATTTGTTTCCTAAGAAATCACCCGAAAATCAAATTTTTTAGAATAAATAGTTTTATAATAATGGAGATAAAATTTCAGAAATTCCTTATTAAATTCTAAAGATCTATTTATGGAGACAAAAAATTTGGGAAGCACTTGTAAATTTTTATCTGCCAATACCAGCGAGCAATATTTAAACTTGATTTCTTTTTGAACACTAAAAATTTGTCAAATTTATTAAAATTACCAGTAAATTGTCGGATTTTTTACATTCATAGGGCTCACTCAACAGTTTTGTTATACTTCCAATAATAATAAGTCAAATAAGAAACTGAACTCAAGAGGTAACTTCTTCTGTGGGACCAAACTCGAGCTTATCTTCGTTGAGACCTTCGACATCCACTTCTGATTCCACGGTTGCGTTAAGGGCGTTCAAAGTCACCTCTGCAGATGGTTTGCTAACTTCTCTCGTGGCCAACATTGAGGTTGGAGTGGTGGGTGTTTGCGCTGGCTGCTGGACAGATGTCCTAACTGGAATTCCTGCGTCCTCAAAAGCTTTTTTCTTCAGAGTTGCACGAATTTGGTTACTGTAAATAGTGGAAGATTGAATTTATAGAGCATTCAAAAATTAAATGAATAATGAATTTTATTAAATTAAAAACACAGTTGATCTTGCTAAATAGTGAACTCACACTGTCCGCGCCTTGATGACCTCCGAAATCGAGTTCAGGTCTCCGCTAAACCGCTGCAGCGAGTCCCTCAACATTTCTATCTCCTGATCTGTCCACTTCCTAGCAAGATCAACTGCGTCAGTATTATTCTAGCTACAATTTAATTGCATTTCAATGCACTTACCCCGCTGTCGAATCGGCCGAAGCGTGCAGCTGCATCGTCAATTCGCCCAATTTGTTGAAAGCCGAACCGGCCGCCGCAAAAATCTCGCCTACCTGCGTAGAAAATCAACAAAATTTCGATTTAAAACGAGCTGTTTGGAGATATTTTGGCCTTTTACCTTCGACGCCGAATTCATTGTGACGCCTGTGGGGGTTTAAAACGTCCTAAAAATATTTAAAGTCAACAAATTTTAACTTTTTTAACCGAGACCCTCGGGACACAAACAATCAACAAACTTTTGGTTGGCGACGCACTCGTCACAGCGCAAGCGCCGGTCATATTTCTTATTTGAAGCGCTATGGCGCATTCAAGGCGCGATACGCGATACACGCCAATTTATTTGCGCAAGAAATAATGAAAAAAGAAATTCCGTGAAAATTTAAAAATCGAATTTAAAAGGTCATTTTTGCGATTTTATTCATAGATACTTTCAGAAAAGGTTTACTTTTAAATAATTATCATGAAATTAAAAAATATGTAATTTCCTTTGAACAATTAAACTATTTCAAATAATGCTTCATAATTTTCTGCAAATCTCTACCTGTTTGGAAAACTAATTTTTACAAAATTATGCATGTGTATCAGAGATTAAACTTATTGCATTCGTATTTGCGTAATGTTGACGTTGCAAAGATGGAAAGGGGTGAGAGAATCATCTGCACACTCGACCTCTTTGCTCACCGCCACCGCTCATCAGTGTCAGTGAGGCTGTGGTCGGGCGAGGGTGTGCAATTGTGCATCTCGCAACTTGATGGCTGCTCTTTTTATTCCCGTCTTGTCCTGTTTCGTGGCTGCAACGTCGTCCGAAAGGCTCTGGAGTCGCCATCAAGTTCTGGACCATGATTCTCAATTCACCCTATCGTGGAACCCTCGCTTGGATGCAGAGGGTTATTTCCACTTCAACTTGAAGGCGATCACCAAAGGTTACGTCGGATTCGGACTCTCCGACACCGGGACCATGGCCGGCGCAGATTTGGTTGTGGCTTGGCCCGAAAAGTCGGGAAATGCAACTGTTTTGGCAAGTTTAATAGGGTGGAACCAAAAATATTCAAATATTTTCAATTAAATACTTTTAATTTAAAAAAAAAATAAACATATTTATAATTAAAATAAAAATTGCTTTCAAGTAAAAAATGATGCATTTTAATTACTAATTATGTTTTCATTTTGGTTGCGGCCGTTTTCCGGCCAACAAGATGCGCTTTTCTTGCTGATCTGAGGAAATTGGAGTGTTCTCAGTTTCTCAAGAGCAAAATCGATCTTGTTGGTCCTGGAAAAGAATTCTCGCAAAGAGCGCAGTGCCGCGAGATTAATTTCCCCTTTGACAGGACATGTACGCGAGCCAGAACGGCCTTCCGAGGCAGGACGCGCACAACGATTGGCACCTGAAGGGCAGCGCCTTCAACAGGAAAACTGGCGTCTTCCAAGTCTCGTTGGCGCGCAAGATTGCCGCCTATGACGACAAAGATCTGCCAATCCACGTAGTTAATCTAAATCCGATTTGATTTTTTTTTTTATAAAAATAATTTTTTTAGGAAGGACCAGTGCTGATAATCTACTCGTGGGGCAAAACCCGAGCTCTGGAGCACCACGGGACCAATCGAAGAGGCGCCGTCAAAATTAATTTGCTGCAACTCGCAAATCACTCTGGACTGATGAAAAAAAAACCATCCACTTTTGAAGTCCTATTCTTTTCAATATTTGTTTCTAAAATTATTTTCAATTAAGTTTTGAGTGAGTTCGAGAAAGATGTTGATTTTCAAAGTTGAGTGGTTGCTTTCTATTGATCCACCCCTTGCCATATTTAATTACTCCATACTCTTGAGAATCAAGAGTTCACATTGCAGGCAACCTTCTCATTACATTTTGTTCTCACTCCCTTTCAATTTATGCGACGAGCGTGGTATTAATTCATATTTTTGCGATTGAAGTTTTCATTTTAATGAGTGGATGTGTACATGTGGACTGTGGAGGTTCTTGAGACGCTTAGGTTAAAACATTTTTTTTTATTACTGACACAGTCATTAAAATCACATTTACACAAGGATTTTTCTTGCAAATAAATGCACAAAGCTCGAATAAAATTTGGAATGTTGAAGCAAAGAAAACTGCTTTCCCTGTACAATAATTAAATTTTCAAGCTATTTTAGTATGGCTGATTGTGAGAATATAATAGTATCAAAGGAACTTGAGAAATAAATGCCATAGTAATGGAATTTAAATGCTAGGAAGAGCAATCTTACAATCTGATGGTACCCTCGGGCAGACTGGCATTGCACAACTGGTAGCAGTGGAGGTCGTTGACCAACCTCAAGATTCCTTGACTAAATGAGGGCAAATCCTGTAAATAAAAAAGGACATAATGAATAATTCCGTAACAACTTTTGGGCAACAAACCGATTCGGGCTTCAGATTTGTGGCTAGAGTTTGTTTCTGCGAGTTGTCAATGCTGAGATTGGCAGCTAAAAAGCTCGGAACGAATCTCAAGTAGAAGTACTCGAAATCTACCGCGGCCATGGAGTAAAGTGCACCAGTGACCTCGTCTTGCAAAAGGCCATGGTTGCGGTCCACGAGGCACTGAAGAAGAACAGTTAGGAAATGCGGCAGAAGTTCTTCTTTGAAAATTGTCTGGAAATTTAAATGATATATTATTTTTTTAGGAAAGAGATAATGAAACACACCTTTTGGTAGAGCTTGCATTTCGAATTGAGCTTTTCCAGACTTTCCAAACTGACTTTAAAAGCAGCTGGGTCAGTCTGGAGAAGGCACTGGCCAAAAGCTCTCAAAATCCTGAGCAATTGATCTTTATGCTCCACAGAACCTCCCTCGGGATCACTGTTTTCTTTGCCAAGCAGAGCGCAGCGCATCCCTCCCTTGAAGAATAATCGCCAGTTGTGCAACACAAGCTCAGCCAGCAGCTCCAAAAGAGCTACTTTGACATCCGGACATGGGCGCTAAAATCAAAGTTATTAGTATTTTAATAATGAAAAAAATTTAGAAATCTTACCTCGCACACTAAAGGATAAATGTGGTCCATGCAGAGATTCATCGTGCTTGGCACAAATCTCTTAAATGCCTGACTCGGCTCTTGTATTATTAGTTGTAAAATCCTCAAAAATCTATAATTTTATTTAGAAATTGCAATAAAAAAACCAAAACTCCTAAATGATTACTTGTCGATGACGCACGGCCCCGAGTCTAGTTGTAAAACGGCCACTGTCAATCTGTCCCCTGTAAACACTTCTAAGAAGACCTGCGCCATCCTCTCTGCAAACTGAGCACCTAATTGTGCCTGCAGAGCTTTGAACACAGCCAAAAAGATTTCTAAAAGGGCTTCACAAGCCTCTGCAATTGGAAATAAAAATAAATTGCGATTTCAAAAAAACAAAAATGTGAATTTACCTGGGACATTTACATATACAGGGAAAAGCTCAAGGCACTGACTGACGGGAGCTGCAACGCACGCAGAGAGGACCCTTTTGGTGTTGGAACCTTCCCCACTCAAGTTTTCAACTTGGTCCGTGAGGAGTTGTAAGCAGTTCACCAGGTGGGTGACTGAAGTTGATAAAATTAAAATTAATGCGCAGAATTTTTGAAAAACACATACCTTTGTCCCTACTGACAATCCCGTTTGGCAGCCCTTGCAGGTCTGCAGTGATGGCACCTATTAGGCTGGAGTAAACACTTTGCCTTTCTGGCCACTGCTGTTCAATTACACCAGCCCATGGCAGCAACAAAGTGTTTGCTAGAGATCTAAGCACAAGTTTCTTATCCTGTCGAAATGAGAGCAGAAAATTAGTTTCATTCTCTCATTTTGTTTCAATGAAAGCATACCTCGTGTGGAAGACTGGGAAAGCTGGGCGCTTGCCGCAAGAGGGCCTGCATTTCCGGCAAACTGCTGACCTCTGGACTTCTGAGGGAGGCAGTCAAACTGACCAAAAGGTGGGCCGCAGCGTGGGCCACTAGGGGAGGAGGGTTTTCAGACATGGTCGAGATGGCCGTCCTGATGCATTCGAGTGCCAGTTTGTGGCCAGAAGGAACTTCACCCAGCCAGGGAGCCCATGCCTTCAGGGCAGCAAGCACTTGGGCATGTCTGAAAATTTGAATTTGAGATTTAATTTAAATGAAACTATTAAAATCCTACACAGTGAGAAGGTCCGGTTGCAGAACTGGGCTGGGGCAGTGCAAAGGAAGATACATTTTTGTTTGAGCACCGAAGGAGGCAAGATTTGCAAGTCTTTCAGCAACTGCCAGGGCAGCAGTTTGTTCAGTCTCCAAACCATCACAAAGGCGGCCAAGTGCTTGGCTCAGTGATGAGAGATCGTGCAAAATGCAGTGAAGGCGGGAGGCTTCGTGTTCCTGCAGGTTTACTCCCGTGTTTCCAAGTCGAACGTACTCCATGGAACTACTTTCCCAGGCCTCCAGCTACATAAAAATAATCTGTGAAATTCTAGGAAAGAAAATTTTAAATGAAACTTACCACCATAGAATAAGTTTCAACGGGCAAAAGCTCGGCAATTTTGGCTATGGTTTCAATATGTTGGCATAAATAGTGCTGCCACTCAGTCTGATCCTATTTTAAAAGAAATTCATTTATAGACTAATTGTTTGATTCAAAATTTACGTCAGAATCCATGTTCTCGTCATCCAATTCCTCCAACTTGGCCTGATTGTACTTGAACTGGATGCTAGTCAAAACGTGTGACAGCAAATTTAACAAAGCCTCTTTATACCTGGAAACAAATTTGCATTAAAATCAGTTTTTATTTCTTTATAATTTTGACAAAATATACCATTCCAAAATATTCTCCTTGTGCATGGTTCGATCTTGAACCCGAGACGAAAGGTAGCTGATAAGCTGAAGCCACAACTCCAGGCAGACCAACTGTCCTTCGAAAGTGGGCTGTTGGAAGGTGAACCTCAATAGCAGGTTAAGAAACTCTGACATAGGAAATCTTCTGTTGCCCTCAAATCGGTGCAAGTGGTTTGTGACAAAGACGCGGAGAAATTCGGAAAATTTTTCCAAATAGCTACAAAAGTTGAAGTAAATCAAACAATTTTCTCTTGATTTAAATTATAATTTACATACATTTCCTCTACAGATTCTAAGCCATCAGACAGAAGCTTCTGCAGAAGGGTGAAAACTGAGCCAAACATTTCAAGGAGCAAATCATGCCACTCGGCAGGAACACATTGTTTGTAGAGAAGTTCGTTTATGGCACACATTGCCTGCACTCCAAGTGAGGGAGAATCTCCACACACCTGACATACAAAGAACATTAATTGCCTTTCAAAATTGTGAGAATTTTTATACCTGGACATGCTCAGGAAGGGCAGCGTAATGAAAGAGGATTTTTATCAGGTCAGGAGTGAGATAATTGTCAAGAGGAACCCAAGACAAGTATTGAGCCAAGGCCTTTAAGGCCAGAGAGCACACCGCCTGGTCATCTTCGTCAGAAAGGTTTGATTTGGTCAGTCCAGGAGTGCCTAATTTTGCAGCTAACATTCCACTCAACAATAAAGAATCTAAATAAAAATATATATATATTTAAAAATTCTGTTTCAAAATTATAAGAATAAAGTTACCAGATGGTGACGAGTTTTCTGCAGTGCAAGAGTCAATTTGCCCATGCGTGGGTGACGGTGGAGGAGTCGAGGTCCTCGTCTTTTGCCGCTCCAGTTGTCTTTGCAAAACCCCCGTCATGGCCCTGAACAAACTGGGCACCTGAAGCAACAAGAGTCTTCTCAGTTCGTCCTTTCGAGACGAACTGAGATCCTCCCTCGGTGAAACCAGCTCTTCGGAAGCGGTGAGTGCAAAGACCAGACCCAGAACTGTGTGGTCACTACTGTGGATCAGCTGGAGGATGGTGTCGAAAAACTCAGGATAGAAGTGCGGCCAATCGTGTCTGGCTATGTCCACGACGAGCTTGACGAGCTTGTTCCTCAGAAAGGGAGGAAGGTGCTTGTGGTTCTGAAGAGTGTAGCTGTTCAGAGCAACCTTCAGTTGCACTCGCTCCTCCCAAGGCAATCCTTGCCACTGCCTGTTCACCACGGTCTGCAATTTCATCAAATTGAAAAAAAAATTAGTGAATATATCAACGTGAGAATCTTATAAAATGACATGGTTTTTTTTTTTTTTTTTTTTTTTTTAAAGAAAATAAACGCACCTCTATCGTTGTTAAGCAGAACATGGAGACAAACTGGTTGGAAGTCCGGGATAGGAAATTCAGGCAGTGGCCCCAAGAACCGCGTTGGGAACCGAAACCGAGCAGGATTTGCTCGATTTCCCTCTGTCGTTGGGCCGGAGCGCCAGAGAAGAACTCGTCGAGCAGAGCTTCCAGGGTTTTCAAGTCGCCGTTGTCGTCTCCCTAAACGGCAATTTTCGATTAGATTTGGGCATTAAATAGGTAAATTTTTAATGGCCTACCATCTTCGGGAGATTAATATTGTGCCTGTGAAAGTCTACGGACTAAAAGAGCTCGATTTGTTAAGAAAACATGATTAGAATTGGCGAATTCATGTGTGTGGTCGCACGACCACTGAAACGTCTGCGCCACGCCCCTTCTGCAGCATTCCCATTGGCGCTCGTTCGCCGACGGCGCCTGATAAAAACAAAAATCAAAATTCGGCAGCGCGACCAGGAAGAGCTCCGTCACTTTTTGCGATAAGAAGACAATATGTGATTAAAGATTAAAGTTTTATGCATACATGTTGATACATGTCATTAAAAAAACATCGATTATCAAAAATTATCAAGAATGGGAATACATAATATTATACATTAAATTTTTATCAACGTTGTTTCCAAATTCCAAAGCCTTCTGAATTTTGGGCTGATTTTATTTTTTATCATGTTTATGAATATAATATTCTGCCCATCATTTTTTTCTATGTTTAATTTATTAGAATTTAAAAATGTAAGCAATTTCCAATTTATTTGACTCATGTTTTAGTTGAACTATTGATTATATTAAATTAATAGGTATTACTCAGGTATTAGTTACTATTTTAATCATTTAAATTTTATTATCTTATCTCATAAATTAAAGAGATTTTTTCACATGAATAAATGCTGTAATTAAAATTACTTTAATCATTCAGTTTTTTTCAAAAAAAAAAAAAAAAAAAAAATCCAGAGATATAATAACTTGTTATTATAACTTATTATCTTGCTATATAGCAAAAATTGATAAAAAATTATCTTAAAAAGGAAAAAAATTAGGAATACATAATTACATATAATTAAAATATCTTTTAATGAGAGGCAATAGGCAATCAAAGAATTGGCAGGCGCTCGTTCTCGGCTTTTATCTTTTTAGTCGCAGTCGCTTCTCCTCTCTCGCGGCTCTCTCAAGGACACGCGAAAATCTCGTACACAAATTAAAATAGAGAGGCTGCGAGGGCGAAAGTGGTGTGTTCTGTGTTCCCTCCTCGCACACACGCCCCGCCATCTGTGTGGCGACCTCGCGAACCGACTTGGAGCAGAGAAGATCGGAGATTCGCGAGTGTGCTTCGAGTCGCGATGGTCTTCGCTGGACAGATGCACCTGCGGCGGATCCTTCTGCAGCCTCAGGTGAGCACCAGCACGAGCGTCCGCGGCGCCGACCGAGGTCGCGGCGCCGCCGACTCGTCGGCCGACGCCGACACTCGGGCGTTCGGCGCGACCTTGGGCCTCAAATCTCTCTGTTTTTGCTGCCGTCCGTGTCCGCGATTTGAACCGGACACACCTCCTGCCAATAACCAATGGCAGGTGCCCAAATGTTAAGACGTAAAAGCGGTCGGCGCTGACGTACGTGAATCTGCCCCCAGCAGATGGGGACCCACGTGCACCCGCAGGTGTGGTACATTTTTTTTAACACTTTGGTAATTTTTGCAGATCGCTCGGCTTTACCACATTAACGCCTCGAGATGGGTGTCCCAGCCGCCGTACCAGATCTTCAAGGTACAGTGTGTCCTTGAACTGTGTTGTCACCCTAATGCGAAAATTTTATTGGTCGGTTCACAGTACTCGGACTTAGAAGTGACCCTTGCCTCCCCAGAGATTCTCAAGCCCAAGCCCGAGGTGTCCTCCCTGCAGTTCGGAAAGTTTTTCACCGACCACATGATGCAGGTTGAGTTCCATAAGAACAACGGCGGTTGGCAGACTCCGAAGATTGTGCCTTTCCAGAATATCTCCCTGCACCCTGCAGCCAAAGTCTTCCACTATGCGGTGGAGGTAAAAAAATCTTTTTATATTTAATTTTGTGTGAGATTTTCCTTATATAATTTTTTTTTTAAAGTTATGAAAGCAAAATTTATAATATTTCTGCTATTTTAAATGAAGTTCGCTGATTTAATTTCGTCTTTTACACAATACTTTTTATAATGGTATAATTATTATGTATATTTATTCCATAAATATTTATGTTAGTAGAAAAATAATTTTTAAATTTAATTGAATTTTTCTGACAGTACAGTCCCAATACAAATATGCAGAAAATTTTAAATATTTCACATTTAAATAATTGAATCCTATTCATACAATTAAACAATAATTTTTAATGAATATATATTTTTTTTATTTCTCTTGGTGACAGAATGGAGTTTCAGATTTCTGTTGCTCTTGATTAAATTATGATTTTGTCACCTTGAAATAATATATGTCGTGGAAGGCAAACATAAATATCAGCAGTGGCACAACACAGAATATTATAGTCGGAGAGTGGAAAGTTACACAATGCGTTTGCTGCCTGGCTCTGCTTCCTCTTCTCACTGACTCTTTATTTTTAGACCGCGCACGCAAATGAGGTGGCCTAACGAAGAGTCGCTTGCAAACTAATTTGCAAACGAGGCTATTGACTTTTATGCCTTTTGCAACTAGATTTTTTTAATGAGTTTTTGGTCAAAAGTTTCCTCTTCTCTCTTTTTTTATTTCTTTTCCTTTAACCTAGTTGTTATTAATTTTATCTGGTGCAGCCTGCAGACACGCGTCATTAATTTTGCTATGATTGATTTAACTCTCATGAGGTCAAACTGATGATGTTGTAATCACAAACTGTGCCAATCTTGTACACGTCACTTATTGGAAGTGCCTATACTTATTGTTCTGTGATTTAAGTCCTCTGTTATCAAACTTGCAATCTACGCTACTCCTGACATGGCACAATATCTGCAGCATTGACCATGAGTTCGCATGTGCTGCGTTCAGAATTTTGATGTCAGCAGTTCCTATGATTTTTATTCAAGGTTGAGATTTATTTAAATGAAAAAAAAAAAATCATAATTTTTACAGGAAAAATTGAATTTTTATGCTAGGAATTTAAATATGAAGAAAAGCTAAACAATTTAAAATCAAAATAAGAGAAAATACAGATATTTGTAAAACTTTGAAATTTCCACAGCTCTTTGAAGGTATGAAAGCCTATCGTGGAAAGGATGACAAGATTCGGGTGTTTCGGCCGGACCGCAACATGGAGCGAATGAACGTATCAGCTATGAGGTCCGAGTTGCCCATATTTGACGGCGACGAGCTGACCAAGTGCATCTGTCGCCTTATCAGCATCGACCAAGAGTGGGTTCCCCATTCTTTGTCCTCAAGTCTGTACATCCGCCCAACCATGATTGGAATCGATGTGAGAAAATTCTCCTAATATTAATTATTAGAAAAAAATTATTTTTCCTTTTCCAGCCCACTCTTGGTGTTTCCTCTTCTGATAATGCCTTGCTCTTCGTCATTTTGTGCCCTGTCGGTCCCTACTTCCCCGGCGGCTTCAAACCGGTTTCTCTGTTGGCCGACCCCAGGTTCACTAGAGCCTGGCCTGGAGGCTGCGGCGACCGAAAAATGGGTTCGAATTACGCACCAACCATCAGAGTTCAGGTACTTGAGTTTTTCTCCTAAATTTACCTAGTTCGACAATTAGTTATTTTAAAGGCTGAGGCACTTGGTTTAGGACTGCAGCAAGTCTTGTGGCTATTTGGAGACGACCACCAACTAACAGAAGTGGGCACCATGAATATATTTGTACTAATTTTGAATGAGAATGGAGGTAATTGGCAAGATAACAATGTTTTAGGTATATTAACTGAGTGAACTTTCAGAGAGAGAACTAGTTACTCCACCATTGGATGGCCTAATCTTGCCAGGAATCACAAGACAGTCGATTATTGAACTTGCTCTGCAGTGGGGAGAATTTAAAGTAGTCGAACGTAAAATTACCATGCCCGAAGTGCAGCAGCTTCTTAATGAAAAAAGAGTGAGCATTTGTTTAAGTTGATTATTATTATAAAAATGATGATTTGATTAAATTCAGCTGCTGGAGCTTTTTGGCGCCGGAACTGCATGTGTGGTGTGTCCGGTGTCCTCTATATTGTACCAAGGGCAAACCTTGAAGATCCCCACCATGGAATATGATGTTCCAGTGCACCAGCGTATTCTCAAGACCCTCACCGACATTCAGTACGGCCACGTGGACCACCCGTGGGCCCTGCGTATCGACCAAGCATGAAAAATTGTTTCCTACGTACATGTTAAGTGTTCCAATAATTTTACCTTCAGTGCAAGCAAATTTAACACCATATCAAACTCGAATCAAAGAGGAAACGAGTCAATCCCAACGAGTCAGTTGATATTTTTGGAGCAGCCCAGGAAGTAAATCAAAATCAATTATGCCAGACAATAATGGTCAAACGAAACACATATTTTACAGAGAGATGAATTTAAAGAAATATAAAAAGCTCAAATATTTAGTGAAACAAATCTTAGCTCTCTTAAGATTTGCCTTTATTTATATACTTTGTTATTGCTCACAATTATATTCTTAGAGACGCAGTAAGAATCTCTCTACTTGGTGCCATCATACTTAAATTTTCAATGCAGAAATTTAGATTCGAAAAGCAGCCCTTTGCTATGCATATATAAATAAATTGGGTACTTATGTTAGCACGGGTCTATTGCCCAATGTTAAATATTTATTGATATGTTGAGAAAATCGCCCAAGTGCCTTTTAACGAGCTTTTGCCTCGGATCAATAGATCTGCATCTACTGCAGCGTTTTTGAAACAAAATGTTATTTTCTATATTCTGAAAGCCTTTCTAGTTGTTAAAACGTGACAATACGTAAGAGGATAGGCAGCAGTTGAGTGCCTCTCCTGTTTTAGACATCTTCCGTGCCATTTTGTTACTCAAAGATCTTTATTTTTGTACTGTAGAAAAAAAAACTCTTGCCCTCACATCAGTCATGTAGCCGTCTTGCAGCTGTGTGAAAATGTTGCCACGAATTAAAGTTTTGAAAATTTTAAGCTGGACTTATTTTACTTTTTATTAGCAATTTTGCTTGATTAATAAAGCTTTGCCATTACTAAAAAAAAAAACCATATACTTGTTGCTCTTTGAACCCCTTATCAATAACAAAAACTGAGGAATTGTGGCATTTTATAGTTTGTGCTTGTGACACAAAGGCAGCTGGGGCCCTCATAGTAAAAAGTCTTGGTGCAGCAGCTGCACATGTTGCGATTTTCCCAGAGGGGAGATAACAATGAGCCTTTCTTACAATAATTCACATCCAAGTTGAATCCATTCACCTGCCCTTTTTTCCATAACAATAGGAAGTGCTAAGCCAGACCAAAGATTCCCTTTAAATAGTGTTTTCCTTGTGTATCTGATTTATACCTTTAAACTGAAATGCTTGATGAATTTTTAGCATAAAATAATAATAGTAATAATAGTTGAATAATAAAAGTAGTTTGAATGAGTTGCTTGTGCAGCAAAGATTTAATTATAAAATGTGTAGTCTTGGTCAAATTGCAAACATTCAGAAATGACATTATTATTTACAATCAAAGACACCCTTTGTACTGGTCCATTGAATTAAACTGATGAGTAGGGTGTTGGGTTGTGAACACAAAAGTCGACATAATCAAAAAGGCTACCATACAAAATTAAAACAAACGCAAACATTCGTGGCTCGCATATCACAGGAGTCCATCAAAGTTATCAGTCAAATGAGTCAACGGAGCTTAATTTACTGCGAGCTTGAGCTCTTGGTGATTTTCTTGGGAGTAGTTTCAGCAGCAGGTTTTGGTAACATCGACACCAATGTGGGTCGCAGAGGTCCTAACAGGCTAACACAGCTCCACCTGAAGCAGTGAGTTCAAAAATAAAGAGACTGAAAAACTTTTCAGCGGAATCAAAACTTACTTTGAAACCTTGTACTTGTCCCTGATGGCTTGTTGCGGGTGCATTGGCGCCTCCGAAAAGGCAAGAGTCAGGGGGTCGAGGCAGCTGCCAAGGTGTTCAATGGACAGACCAGTGAGCTCTCGCAGGTTTTCAGGCCAAGGCTCAGCACCCATCGTGTGCCTTGCCAAAGCAACAGCCGCCGCAGCCATCTCGGAGGGAAGGAAATGCATGAAGCGCTCTCCGTCCAACAAGCTCAGCTCACACAGATACTGAAATGGAATCAATTGTTTAAAACAGATTATTATTCAAAAGCCTTCGTTGTACCTGTGAAAGATGCTTGGTAGGCTCGGAGCTGTGAGCCGCAAGGTTGTACTTGGTGGCAAACCTCAAGATGGTTGGGGTGGACATGTCAAAGGTAAGTACTTTGAGGATGAGGTGCTCCATGCGGAGGACCTGCTTCTTGGTGTAAGTGTCGTCAGTGATGTAGACAAACTCACTGACATCTGGAGGATATATCTCCTCAAATTTGGCAGCAATGAACATAGCCGCAGTGCCAACCAACTGCAACTTTCCCCTAACCACAGACATGTAGCTTAGGAACCGATCAATGTAAGACACAGCCAAAAACAGGGTTTCCCCATGAAGGTTGTACTCGTCAGCAACTTCGACCAGCCAGTCCACCAAGATTGAGCGCATCGAGTAAGTGATGTCCGGCTGTTTCCGCATGTAGCCAGGCTTAGGCCGGAATTTCAGCTGAAAAAGATGGAAACAATTTAAATATGAAAACTTATTGCAAAAGATGGTAATTCAAAATTACCTCGGCTGATTTCATGTACTTGTAGATTTCAGTTTGATACTCGGTGACGTTGTAGAACTCTTCTTCAACCTGCTGGTAGTTGATCCTTCTCTGGGCCACGCTGCGATCGACGGACATTGGCGAGCCAATGATGCTGTCCATAGACATGTCCAGGTTAAGCTCATTTTCGTCCGGAATTTGCAGGTGCGAGATGCTGTTGGAAATCTCGCCTGACTCTCTGTCATTTTCAACATTCTCCTCCACAGCTGCAATATCTTCAACCACGACCTCCTCTTTCACTTCAATCACTGGTTCAGGGACGACCTTTTTCGGCTCTTCCTTCCGAATTTCAAATTTCGGCTTTGACTCGCAGGCCTTGGCTTCATTTTTCCGAGCGAAGGCATTTTCGTCGGTGGCTTTTAAAACAGGTTGCTGCTGAAAGCAAAAGGCATGCGTGGCGTCATTTCAACGAACATTTCATGAGAGAAAAGTCCAAATTAGAGAAATTCTTGCAATTCTCACGCCGAGGAAAGACTGAAGTGCGTGGAATTTTTGAGGAAATTACCTGTTTGGCTGCCCTGGGTTGCTGCACGCGAACCCGATTTTCGTTCACGACACCGAGGACAGACCGCTTCTGTCCCTCGGTTTTCGTTTTGGCGTTCTGCTTCGCCCTGCGAACGGCGCCGCCGTTCTCTTGGTCCTGGAAGATTTGGAACGAACTCATGGCGAGATTCTAGGACCAGAAATCGATGGAAACGGTGAAAAATTAAGCTGCAATTGCGACAGCTTGGCAGCACTCCGACCGACTTGCTACACGTTCAACGTTCTCTTTTCAACGGATCTTTTAAATTGAAACGAACATGCGCGCAGCTCGCAAGCCAATCAGCGCCCGGCACCGGTTGCAACGCTAGTCAAATGAGTATTAAAAATTCGTAAGAATTTTTCTCCATTTAAAAATTTGAATTTAAACTGTTATTTAATAAACAACAATTAAACTTTTGTTTTTAATAAATATAATTTAATTTTTGGTTTATTGCCAAAAATCGGAAATAATGAAGATATTTTTTTATTATTGAGAGGCACGGGAAGTTTGAAAACTTATGTCATGATTAATGCGGAAAATTTTAAATTTAAAGCTCTAAAATTTAAGTTATTTCAACCATTTTGAATTATTTTGTTCGAAACAATATATTTTGTTAAAAATTCTGCTTAAAATGTAAGTAAAAATTGCAGACGGAATAATTATACTCTTTTACGTAGTTTACGTACATTGTTGTACTGCTACTGCTCTTGTCAGCCCCGCCCCAACTTCTTTTTTTGCCATGCTTGATCGCTTGACGCTTGAAGCAAATACTTCTTGGCTTGAAGTAAACAAAATAACAAATCGCACAGAACTGCACAGAACCCAGTGGGCTGCTTCATAATTTTTGCAATTGAATAATACTTTAAAGAGAAGAAATGTCAGCTCACATCAAGTTTGCCTATAATAGTTAATAGTGCATTCTATAAAACATTAATAATTTTCTGTTTTTCCTTCAGGACCATTCACCCAATGAAATATATGAGAGACTTTTTGGTAAGTAAATACATAATTATATCTATTATGTATTATGTAATTTACAAAAGATAATTATTTAGCTTTCCTCAAATTTCTGGCAAAATTACTCATGAAATATATTGGAATTTATTTATACTTCATATTTTAATAAAAAAAATAAAATACATAATAAAAAAATTGATAATTTTATTTTTTTGTAAGGCTCGGAAAATTAGACCTGATGGTAGAAAACTGGCAGAAGTGCGTCCAACAGCAGTTAATGTCGGATCAATCAGCACAGCAGACGGATCTGCTCTCATCAAAATTGGAAACACCGTTGTCATTTGTGGTATCAAAGCTGTGAGAAGAAATACATTAATATAAAAAAATTCTTTAAGATTATTTGACTTTTTTTAACAGGAATTGACGGTGCCGAATGCTGAAAAACCAAACGAAGGTTTTGTCATTCCTAACTTAGAACTTCCACCACTTTGCTCACCACAATTCAAAAGTGGCCCTCCTGGAAACACAGCCCAAGTGTGCAGCCAATTTTTAGCAGACGTCTTGGCCAACTCAAAGTGTGTGGACCTGCAATCCTTATGTGTGGTGCCAGACAAGGTTGCGTGGGTTCTGTACTGCGACCTTGTCTGCCTGGACTACGATGGCAGTGTCCTCGACGCTTGTGTTGCTGCACTTGTTTCAGCATTGAGCACTGGTACAATAATTATACTTTTTAACTTTTATCATTTTCTCAAAACTTTCATTGTGCAGTTACCCTGCCAGAGGTGAAATATGACCCAATAATGAAAACCAAATGCGTCGAGTTGGAGAAAAGGAAACCTTTGGTTTTGACGTGCTACCCTTTTGCCAGCACTTTTGCTACGTTTGATGAGTAAAATTTATTGAAATGCTATTGTTGATTGTATTAAATTTCTGTTTTTCATAGGGAATCTATTTTAGCAGACCCCTCTGAGGAGGAGGAATCGTTAAGCTCGGGCACTATTACTTGTGTAATGACAGGTGCCGATTTGTGCACTGTCCACAAGCCAGGTATACCATTATTATTATATAGTTGGATCTGGTCAGGATGTTTAAAATATTTTTGCTGTTTAGGTGGTTGTCGATTAAATGAGCAGCAAGTAAGTGAATGCATTTCAAAGTCACAAAAGAGATGGCAAAGTTTGAAAGGTATGGTTGAAGCGTCCATGAAGTCGGTTTACAGCAATGACTTTTGAAAATCGAGTTGATTTGATTTGTATTAAAGTTCAATTAGTAATAAATTTTTTCTATGTATGGCATTTTCAAATTGCAGACTCTTTAATTATAGGCAGTAAAACCTGAAAATTCGTCAGTGAGTTTTTTTTTTATTAAAACAGCCAATTAAATTATGTAAAAAAAATTAACAAATAAATTCGCAAAACATCAGCAAAGTTACATAATATAAATTATATTTATATGCCAACTATTTTGCCTCAATTCCTCTACTCTTATTTTATAGATGCAAAAACAGTTGTCTTCCTATTATTTCACTTATAATTTTTCTCTGCATGGAATATAAATTTTAAATTCTAATAAATTAATCAAATTAATGTTTGTTTCTCAAATTTACATATTTATTCAGTATGCTTTTATGTTTCTCCAAGATTTTTTTATGTTATTTGTTAAAATATTAAGGACGCAGTGTGCAGAGAGTGTTGAGAGGGCGGCCACCTGTGGGCGGCTCGCAGCACTTCTTGTGACAGGAAAAAAAACAAGAGCCGGGGCGAGAACGGCCTGTGTGTGCTGCCTGATGTTTGTAAACTCGTGTGCAGCTACTGCCTGTTTCGTGCGTGTCTGTCAGGGTATCTCTTATCTTTGTGATGCGGTGACCCCGGCTTGAAGCCATGCAGGGCCTCGCGTGCGAGCAGGCTGAGGTAAGAGTTCCATTGGGCCCGGCCCAGGCCCTTGCAGCGCCCATTTGACTCTATTTTTGGTTTGCAGAGCTACGGGTATCCGCAGTATTACCACGCCTCGCCAGGCTCTTCGGGCGACTCATCCTCAGCTTCCAGCGACAGTTGTGCCTCCTCGCAGCAGCCGGCCCTTCTGCACTCGGTAGACCAGCGGCTCCAGCAACTCTGCAAAGAGGAAAGCGCCTCGAAAAAGGTAGCAACCGTCCCACCGTTTCTTCTGCCAACACCGGATGTTTATTTTAGGGCAAAATGGCAAAATATTAAATTTTAGCACTGCGTAAAGAAAACAATAATTTAATTAAAAAAATTGCTTTTTAGAATGTACTTGTTTTAATTTATTTTTAGCAATAATTAATAATATTTAAAGAAATAATTCAAATTTCCTCCGTTCAAATTGATGCATGGCTTTAAGAAGTTGTTGAAACACTAAAATTATAATAGAAGCAGAAAATTATTTGACTTATAAACAATTTTATTCGTCTCTACCTTAAAATTGCAGCCATGCCCTTCAAGGCTGTTGAAAAAACTTGTTGCTCGAGAGGGGCTCGGCACTCTGCTTGTCCGACTTTTTCCTGGCGACCAGGGCTACAAAGTGTCCATCAACAGTCCTGGAAGGACTTCCGCCTACCCTTTTGACGACTCGAAAGTTTCGCCGACCATCGTATCTACTTACGAGGAGGATGAACTGCTGCCGTACATCGATCGTGAGGAGTTGCCTCCTGCCATTGCAGATCTGCTCGAGGACAGTCCAGTGCCTTTGTTCTATGCCGGCTGTGTCGTTGCAGAGATTATGGACATGAGGCACTGTCCTGCTGGACACAATCGATTCGTCCTCCTCAAACCTTCGGATCAGGTTAAATGCCTTAAATTTGGTTGAAAATTTGAAAATAAAATTTTTCCCTCAGAGCTTGCTGTGTGATATTAACCAGCTGACAAGTGAGGGCAACTGGACCAACCAGGAAAAGTTGGAAATAGAAAGTCAGTTGATTTTGGCTACCCAAGGTCCACTGTGTCTTGACCCCTCTCCCTCAGTGGCTGTGCATAACACCAGGGCTCGATATCAAGGCCTTGGTCTAAGTTCGCCTCCGCTGCGCAGACTCGTTCGAAAGTACTCTCAGGTACAAATTTTGCCATATAATTTAGGATTGTTTTTCTAATTGTAAGTTTTCTTTCTCAATTAGGCTGCTATCAACAAAAGAAGAAGATTAAGTCAATACCTGAATTCGTGCAGTACACCATTGCTTCGATTTTTGGACAAGCGCCCGAGAGCTCGTCCAACGCAGCCCCTCAAATTGCCTCCTCAGGTAATGTGAATCTTATACTTCTTCCCCACCCACACCTATAATTTGATTAATTGGCTTCTCCAGATGGTCAACGGCCATGTGGAGCCACCTGACCCTTCAGAGGTGCTTCGTCTAGGAATCAAGGCTTGTGAGGAGCCACCGCAGTCTAGTGAATGTCTACCCCAACTTGTTGAAGAGTACATTCTGCAGACAGAAAGAGCTCAAGGCAGGGTGTACCACATAAAACTTAGTTTGATGCAGAGACCATCTACGACCGAATATTTCGGAGAGTTGTACGTTGACAGAGACTTCAAAGAGGGACATCGAAATGGAGCCTCTTGCCGGTAAATTTGTTTAAATACTTTACAACAAGTTCCTTAATTCCTCTTCTGTAGGTTTTCCCTGGGAACACAGTGGCACGCTAAAAAGTACATAGACCAATTTTGTGAAATTTTCACCGAAGAGGGACGTAAGTTAGTCACTATCACTCACATCGTGCCAGGCAAGACTCCCTCGGTGACAAACACCTGGGAAAAGAAAGAGGAGGAAAACAAAGTAGAGGAAATGGCAATTAATCCACTCCTCATGCACAAACCTACTGCACTTAATAATCCCATTTTGGGGGTAAGTCTTTTGTCAAAACCTCGAAAGCTGCCATTTTAGTTCTGATTTACTTAAGGTGCCTGCTCAAATGGTGCAGCAACAACAGCAGCAAATGGCCAGAGTACAAACGAGTCCAACTAAAGTCACATCTCCAACGCGGCACAACAACGCAACGAATGCTGCTATTAGTGCTCTGGCGACCAGCCTGATGAACTCTGCTCAGCAGTTTCAGCAACAGGCAGCAGGTAACTAAAGATGTAGTTTAAATAAGGCGTCGTTCATATTAAAAATTGTTTTAGCAGCAAATGCCAATGCAGCCGTACCTCAGCAGGTTGCTCAGAAAGGTCGTCGACAGAGCAATACCTTGCTGACCGCCAGACTGAATGCTCCAGTTCAGCAAATCACCCCTCAAGCCTCGCCCCAACAAAGTCTGCTCTCTCCGCAGCCGGCCAGGATGTCGGCTCTTACCTCTCAACTAAATGCCCCTCCGGTCATTGCCCCTGCTCAGCCCTTTGTTAATTTTTCCTACTCCGTGCCTAACAAGATGGTGGCCACCTTGAGACCCACCATGGCAACTTTCGCTCAGAACAGCCAGCAACAAAGGCAACCCTCCCCTCAGCAAGTGAGCCAGCAATCGCCTCAACCACCTCAAGTCCAAATCCAAGCGGCTCAGGAGACCAACCTGGGCATGGCCATGCCTGGTTTGTCTGCCCTTTTAGCAGGTCTTTTCTTGCCAATTGCACATTTTTTACTTTATTTTTATAAATAATTTACCACTCAGGCACTCCGTCGGCTGATAATCCAATGCCAGGATCAACGAACAACCTGCTGGAGAGGCTAACAAGTCCGACGATTGTCCCAGCGTATGTGGCACCAGCCCCAACCCCTCCGTCGCCAGTCGCAACGTCCCAAAGTCCCAAACCCATCACACAGTCCCCCATGTCCAGTCCTTCGACTCTTTCAGTGTCTTCGGTGTCAAATTTAAATCTGCACATAGCCAGTCTGCAGGAAGCCATGGCGCGAGTCCCTGCGTTCCAAAATGTTCAGGTGAGACATGCAATTAAGAGAGAAATGAAATGAAAACACTTCTGCTCTTGATTAAAAACAGGAGACTGAAATAATGGATGCATGGGAATTTGTGAGTTCTCATTTTCTTTTGTTTTGGCTTTTTTCTGATTTCCCTCTCTGTGATCAAAGTTTCTTCCTGGCAGCCAATAAATAATTAGCCTCGTCTTATTTGCAGGTGTCCATACCGGGTTTGCCGAACCCCATATCTCTCTCTTTGAATGTGTCTCAAAACGCTGTGCAGCCCTCGGGTGTGATTGTCCCCACCTTGCCCATCGCCAACACGGCCACGCTGACTTCGCCCTCGGTCGTGGCGCCAGCACCCACTCCTCAGCCCATAACCACTCAGCTTGGAACCCTGAATGTTAGCCCTGCCAATCACACCATGCTGCTCACAGCCAACACGATGGCTGGGACAGGCCAAGTTTTGTCTCTTCCCGTTGGTAAGTGGCCATAGCTTGGCCTTAGCTTTTTCACTGTTGATTGTTTTTTGAACAGCTCAAGTAATGACGCCGGCTGGAGTGAAGACTGCTCTAGGCCAGGGACTTCGGCCAAATCCAACAAGCCCAATGGCTATTCCTCAGGTTTGTTTGTTGTATTTTTTTGTCTGGCTAGTTAAAATCAACTTTAAAACCTTAAGCTTACTCAAGCCAGTGCGCAGCAAATTCAGCTTTTGGGCGCACTGCCTGGCCAAGTTCAACGTAGAGGGATTGTCCAGAGAAGTCCCACCCACACCACCACACTGAAGTTGCAGAGCCAAACCCCCCAAACAAGTTTGCAAGCCACTTTAGGACAGCCAGTAGTTACTTTAGCAACTCAGCAGCAGGCAAGTTAACAACAAACTCTCAAATAAAATGTTTTAATAATCTTTCCGTAGTTGCAGTTGGCGCTGCAAAAACACCCTCAGCTACAGCAGTGTTTGAACCAGCAGAAAGTAAATGTGAAGCCTCCTCGCCGTTCAAGTGCTGCTGAGCCAAAGTGACTGACTGGTGCGACTAAAAGTTTATTTGTTCTACTCGTCCACAGTGCATTTTTTGTATTTATAATTGATAATTAAAAATTTGTGGTGCAAATTTGTTCCAATTTGGAAGTATATGTGTTGTTGAAAATAAAAAAAATAATAAATAAAAAAAGCACAATATACCTTTTTTCTATTTTAAAAATGAGAAAGATTAATAAATATTTTGGAAATTTATATTTATCTAATTAATATTTTTGAAGTTACGAGAAAATTTGTTATAATCTTGGAAAATGCTCAACTGAAAATTTCCACTAAATCAACATTCAATTCAATAATTCCTTTTCTCTTTCTATTCGATCCAGTTCTGCTGCAAAATCAATCTACAGTGAAGGAAAAGTTCATCAAAAATCAATTAATTTACATTCCAAAATCTCCTCAGGTTAAGAATTTTAAATTCAATTATCTTAAGTATTCATTTTCTTTATCAGATAAACAAGGAAACAGTATGGTAAATAAATTGGGATTATTGTTTTATTTGTATGTAACATTATGGACAATAATGCTTTTGGATTAATTAATTTGATTTCATCTTTTAAAATGTCACGAAAGACAGGCCGACCTCCTCCTTTGTCTCGTGGTCCTCCTTCACGGCAGCCTCCTCTTCAGATTGGTGAAGATTATTGCCACCCGGCGAGTTTCGACCTTCGACCGGCTGCTTCATGTCATTCTTGGTCTTTGCTTCCAGCTCATTCACGTCATATGGGCCGACCTCCTCCTTTGTCTCTTGGTCCTCCTTCACGGCAGCCTCCTCTTCAGATTGGTGAAGATTATTGCCACCCGGCGAGTTTCGACCTTCGACCGGCTGCTTCATGTCATTCTTGGTCTTTGCTTCCAGCTCATTCACGTCATATGGGCCGACCTCCTCCTTTGTCTCTTGGTCCTCCTTCACGGCAGCCTCCTCTTCAGATTGGTGAAGATTATTGCCACCCGGCGAGTTTCGACCTTCGACCGGCTGCTTCATGTCATTCTTGGTCTTTGCTTCCAGCTCATTCACGTCATATGGGCCGACCTCCTCCTTTGTCTCTTGGTCCTCCTTCACGGCAGCCTCCTCTTCAGATTGGTGAAGATTATTGCCACCCGGCGAGTTTCGACCTTCGACCGGCTGCTTCATGTCATTCTTGGTCTTTGCTTCCAGCTCATTCACGTCATATGGGCCGACCTCCTCCTTTGTCTCTTGGTCCTCCTTCACGGCAGCCTCCTCTTCAGATTGGTGAAGATTATTGCCACCCGGCGAGTTTCGACCTTCGACCGACTGCTTGATGTCTTTATTGTTCTCATCCTCTTTTGAGGTCATGACCATCAAATTATGTCCACTTGGGGTGGGGGCCTCATTCAGCACCTTGTTCTGCACGACGGCCTTTCGCCGTTTGCCACCGTATTTCTCCTTTTCAACAGCAGGCAGTTTCGCCCACATTTGTGAGGCTTCCTTAGGAGTCAATTTTTGGCCTGCGGCCGCCATGCTGCTTCGGTAGTTATTAAAACCATGCACACGGCGACGGCGACCACCGCACCACTTCTTTGATTTCTTTGATTTCTTCTTAGGAGGCTCTTCCTCTGATTTCTCCAAGTCACTCATATCATCGTCTGGCGCAGAGTCACTTCCGGACTCTGACGATGGTGGCAGGTCATCGCTTTTTGTCACGACTTCCATCTTGATCTCCTGAAAAAAAAAATATATTTTAATTTTTCAATAGTTTATATTCAGATGGGAGATTCCGGATATATTGTATAATTTTAACTTGGTGTGTAACAGTTTTTACTTGATATATGAGAGTGTGATTGATATTTTCTATGTACTTAATTCAGTCCTCGTCTGCCGTACGTTTTGCAAATCAAATTTTTGCTTTATAAATTTTGACCGCAGCCATATTTCAGGAGGGCATTATCTAGCAGATATATTACTAGAAAATTTAATTGTGAATATTAAAATTTTTGAACTCGGATCTATTAATAACAAATTTTTTTGTTATATATATTTATTATTCGGATTTTGAAGTTTTTTTTAGTTAATTGTCTAGATTTGAAGTACAGGAAATTCGTTCTGGAATCTGGAACTTTGTAATTTGAAAATCCGGAGATTTGAACTTAAAAAAAAAATCGCAACGGATAAAAGGCGCGAACGATGCGCGACTTGACAGGCCCAGAATTTTGAAATGTGACCGAAATACGTCTCAAAAAGGCGCCGAATTCACGGATGGTGTCCTCGAAAACCAAAATCGATCCCTTAAAATAAGATATTTTTGGTTTAAAGCTTACCTTTCAAGCGTCTTGACAACGGAACCAAATTCAATGACCAACGACGACTGAAGAACTCCAGTTCCAAATCTTCAAAAATCTTCAACACTCGAAACAAAAGTAGTTTCGAGAAGATCTGTCCCAACAACAGTCGACCGTCGATAGTGAAAAGGGATTTGATTGGCTGTTGAACAACAATATGCGATTTCATTGGTTGTCGGATCTATGGGGGTGCTTTCGGGTCTAAGGACGCTTCCGCCTGCTGCCTTCGATTGTGCATGTTTCAACTCGTCAAGGTCGCCGACTAGCTGCGAATTCTGGAGGCTGGAAATGGATTGAGTTCATTACTCCCAGCTTGTGGCATTGTTCTCTCCCGCTATTCCTTCCCGTTTTGCCGATTGTGAGAGGGAACGCGTATAGACGCATACAATTTATAAATATGACCTTGTGCATTTTTTTTGTGCTTTTATCTCTCGATTTTAATTATTTTTTTATTAATTGTTGAATAAAAGTTATTTTCTCTGAACCTGAGCGTGATTTTTTGGTAATGTTATAGTACGCGCGACGTGTTTTTTCATAAGTTGGCATCAATTATGCTCCCATGTAAAAGTATCACGTCGCGCGTTCGATAGTGGTTTTACGTCGCGCATACAATAATGGTTTTACGTCGCGCGTACAATACTGGTGGCGGTGTAATTTTTAAGGAAACCGATTTTATTTCCCGATTACCACGGAAACCTCTATAGCACGCGCGACGCAATTCTTTTCCTACAATCTTAATTAAGGGGACTGCTAGGAAGAATAGGGGCCCTTGGGATGGGTTCAGAATGGGGCAAGACGACCTCCGTAGGGCCGTGCGCACCCTTATAGCAGGCGCGACGTATCACTATGGGACGCGCGACGGTCGAAAAGCGAACTCCGGAGGGCGCTTTTCACCATCGTCAGAGGCGCGACGCATGGTTATAGGACGCGCGACGTATGCTTATAGAACGCGCGACGCACGGTTATAGTACGCGCGACGCATGCTTATAGTATGCGCGACGCACGGCAAATTAATTAAAAGGTGTTGCACGCGGCCGGAGTTGTGGGCGCCCCACTAACCGGCAACTCGGAGGTGGGCAACCCCCAAGATTAATTTTTGCAGAAGCCGCGAGCGAGGGGTGGAGGCGCAGCGAGGTCGAGGACGTGGGGAAGGCCGTGCGGAGGGCGAGGACAAAAGGGCGGCTGTGTTCATGAGGGGGCTCCGCAGGAGCCCTCTCACGAACCCCGCCCTTTTGTCCCGCCCGGAGCCGGCCTTCACCACGTTCTCGGGCGAGCGCGCCTCCAGCCCGAAGCTCGCAAACCCACAACGGAGTTGCCCACAAAAGGTGTTGTCTGCAAAGGGAGTTGTGGGCACCACATTTTTTGCTTTCTAAGCCCTTTTTGCAGACAATTCCTTTTGTAAGCAACTCCGTTGTGGGTTTGCGAGCTTCGGGCTGGAGGCGCGCTCGCCCGAGAACGTGGTGAAGGCCGGCTCCGGGCGGGACAAAAGGGCGGGGTTCGTGAGAGGGCTCCTGCGGAGCCCCCTCATGAACACAGCCGCCCTTTTGTCCTCGCCCTCCGCACGGCCTTCCCCACGTCCTCGACCTCGCTGCGCCTCCACCCCTCGCTCGCGGCTTCTGCAAAAATTAATCTTGGGGGTTGCCCACCTCCGAGTTGCCGGTTAGTGGGGCGCCCACAACTCCGGCCGCGTGCAACACCTTTCAATTAATTTGCCGCACGTGTCGCGCCTCCTATAATCGTGCGTCGCGCGTACTATAATCGTGCGTCGCGCGTTCTATAAGCATACGTCGCGCGTCCTATAACCATGCGTCGCGCCTCTGACGATGGTGAAAAGCGCCCTCCGGAGTTCGCTTTTCGACCGTCGCGCGTCCCATAGTGACACGTCGAGCCTGCTATAAGGGTGCGCACGGCCCTACGGAGGTCGTCTTGCCCCATTCTGAACCCATCCCAAGGGCCCCTATTCTTCCTAGCAGTCCCCTTAATTAAGATTGTAGGAAAAGAATTGCGTCGCGCGTGCTATAGAGGTTTCCGTGGTAATCGGGAAATAAAATCGGTTTCCTTAAAAATTACACCGCCACCAGTATTGTACGCGCGACGTAAAACCATTATTGTATGCGCGACGTAAAACCACTATTAAACGCGCGACGTAAAACCACTATTAAACGCGCGACGTAATGCAAGTGATGCCAACTGAAATCAGGGATTTTGGGAAACACGTCGCGCGTACTATAACATTACCGATTTTTTTTTATAATCTGCATCTGCACACCAAGAAAATTAAATTCTAAATTTGAATAATATGTACGTTGTTGCTTGAGGCTGCTGACACTTAACATTCTTATCGTGTATATTTTTTTTTCAACATTTCGGTTATGGAATTTGATGTTTGATCATATTGGGTTTAATCAATTGAAACGTATCATTTTATATATTGATCTCATTTTAAATGTTTCGACCCTGTGATATAAATTATATTGCGCGCTATATTATTAAGGGGCCACCCGGCCACCACAAATTAAAATTGGAAAAGCCATTATTGACCATCAATTTTAGAGGCTAATTAAATTCATTGGTGTGAAACAATTTAACGCAATCTTGATTTGTGCAGATATTGCCTTGTGCAGTACAGCAATAAACTTAATTAGTAATTTGTAACTATACTTGTATACATAAAATTATTTAGAATTGTATGTGCATCAGTTGTATTGTGCGTTTTAAAAAATTAATTCAAAAGGGAATAAATGCGTTCAATTTAAATTTGTTTTGAGAAAAGATTATTGGAATGAAAATTTTTTAATAAACGTTTATAATTGACGAATTCC